CAATCTGGAGATGAACTACTGGCCAGCTGAGGTGTGCAATCTTGCTGAGTGTCATGAGCCACTATTTGATTTCGTGTCCTCAATGGCAATCAATGGTAGTCACACAGCTAAGGTATGAATGAGTTTTCTACTGGCATAAACTAAGCAAGGGGTGACAAAAACTTTCAGGTGAATTACAACATGAGAGGCTGGGTTACACATCACAACGCAGATATATGGGTGCAAACAGCACCAATTGGTGGTGACCCTGTCTATGCTCTCTTTCCCATGGGTGGAGCTTGGTTATGCTTGCATTTATGGGAGCACTATCGATTCTCTCTGGACATGGTTGCGATCTTTCCACTTTTCATTTTTGTCTTGGATTTGGAGAACTATTAACTTGGCTCTGTTTGCTTCAGGAGTTTCTTCGCAGCAAGGCATATCCATTGCTCACTGGCTGTGCACAGTTTCTCTTTGATTGGCTCACTGGAGATAACCATGGAATGCTTGTGACTAATCCCTCGACGTCTCCAGAGCATGTGTTTATAGCGCCGGATGGAAAAGAGGCGTCAGTGAGCTATGCGAGTGCTATGGACATGGCTATCATTCGAGCAGTCTTTGATGCCACTTCTTCAGCTGCAACTGTAAGTTCATACCTTCATTAAATCCTTCATTGTCTCCAGCTTCAAGTTCATGTGAATTCTCAGATACTCCAGGAGCCGAACTCACAGTTCACAGCCAACCTGAAGCACGCTACAGAGAACTTGTTTCCTCCAGAGATAAGTTCAAGCGGTCTACTGATGGAATGGGTATGTCCCTCGAGTTTTCCAAGCATGAAGCTTGTTTTGAAACTTGGTATGCTATCCAGGCAAAAGACTTTCAAGACCCGGATGTGAATCACAGACACATGTCACACCTGTTTGGATTGTATCCCGGCCACTCCATCTCGATTGAGAGCACTCCCGAGCTTTGCCAAGCTGCTGTTCGTAGCATGTACGTAAGAGGTACGTATTTTTCTTTCATTTTCCCCCCTCGAGCTGGTTTGAGGGAACGAAAACTTCTTTTTTTTGTTTGCCAGGCGACGTTGGGCCTGGGTGGTCAATGGCCTGGAAGATTGCACTGTGGTCTCGACTGTGGAGCGCACAGAATGCATACCGCGTAGTCAAGAGGATGTTTACACTGATGGACGCCACTCAGACAACAGAGCGTCTGGACGGTGGTGGACTGTATGGAAATCTTTTTAATGCTCATCCACCTTTCCAGATTGATGGGAACTTTGGGTAAGAACAAGCTCTCTGCTTTTAGATTTCTTTATCTTCTGGCAACACTTTTTCCTTCTCGACAGATTTACTGCAGCTATAGCTGAGATGCTACTCCAGAGTGATGAAACGAACATTTATCTCCTTCCGTCGCTACCCGAAGTCTGGATTTCTGGCGCCGTAACTGGGCTACGAGCGAGAGGTGACACAAGTGTGGACATCGCGTGGGAGAGGGGGACACTGTCCAGTGCGAGGATTGTCCCGGGCCCAAAGTGCTCATCTCACACCCGGAGAATTCATTACAGATGGAAAAGCTTTGAAATAAGGCTATCACATCCCTGCACGGAGTGGAAGCTGGATGAAATTTAGCTCTTGCATAGATATTACTTGTGAGTGCTCTTGGGATCTAGACCTTTGCATGTGGCTTGCGCGACATCGTAATTGAATGCTTGGCCATCACAGGAAAAAGGAAATGTGATGTGCATAACGTGTGCAAATATGTTTTAAAAGGTCATCGATTGTTACCAGAGATTCAAGCGATGAGTTCTTAGAACAGATGCTTTTGCTGTTGTTGCTCAACACGATGCTGCTTAAATTAAGAACACGAAGACCTGGAGGAACTGATGGAACTTCACATGTGAATTGGTTGTTATTGGCACAGAGTATCTCCAATGACAGAACAAGTTTTGATTTGCAAATACTGTGGTCCTGAGAAGGCCTTGTTTGGGCAATCTCAATGCAGCACACTTTCAGAAGACTGTTCCAGACACAGCTAGCTGTCAATATGGTCTTTTTTTTTGTATATAACCAGTTGTAAAACTACGTGGCTGTGATGGAAACTTTTGTGGTTTTGAGAATGGTTTTTTTATCATAAAGTTGGGACCACAACAGAAGTGGTTTCACACATAGTTATTTGTTAATTTCTAAATGTGCTATTTAGCAATTAGTCTAGGAGTGGTTTCTAATATGCATTTTGAGAATAAAAGTATGTATAATTTTCTATATAGTTCATTTGAAGTAGATATAGGAGAGAGTAATTTTTAGGTTGTTGCATATAGATTTATATATTTGAATACAAATTGGTTACCAACTATATAGTAGTAACTAATTTTTTACTGTTACAGTAGTCCTAGGTATTTGTGGACCGATATTGAGAAATGACTATCTTGTACTTTAAAGACTATTTTGTTGCCCACCATTGATTTTGATGCCCAACCAACTTTTGAGTTGTCGTAAATCTAAAAGACTGTGTACCGCACAAGCAAGCCATAGCCAAGAACCTAACTAAGCAGCCCATAGAGAAGAAGTTATAACAACATTGCTCTTAATAGCAATTGAGGCTAAGATAGAAACTGTTGTTATTCAGTATTGTAATTAAAAATATACTAAATTTTGATTAAAAAAAGATTTTATAAGTATGCATTTATGTTAATCACCTGACTAAGTAAAAATTAATTAACCACCCTAAACTAACCATAAAAAAGATGTGTTTTTCTACGCTCTCCATCACGAAGAAAAAAAAAACCTGCTGTGTTCGCTGCCGCTGCTGTAACTGCTAGACAATTTCACAAATGGAGGGTGTCCCCACAGCTCGCTTCCCCAAAGTCACAAAAAGAAAAGTGTTCTCTCACGATCAACTCAACCGCACCTCCTCTGAAAATCCCCCTTTTGTTCTCCACATCAATGCTTAACTCTTGGCTTGCAGCAGTCCCTTACCGTCCTTGATCGAGGAGAATAGCCTATGTTCCTAAACTGCGACTCCCTCCACCTCCTCTTCCTCTCCGAATCCAGCAGGTAATTGATGTTGGCCTCGATGTTGGAAAGCATGTGTTTTATGTCCGTCCCTCCCTCGTCCGGTTCCTTGATCACTTTAATCTCGGCCCAGTTCTTCTTCCTACACTCGTCCCGCGATATCTCCACCGTGTCAACGTGCCCGACGCCCGGTTGAGACGTGCATCGATAGTGGCCGACCGGTTCTTCTGGCATATCGGAATCAAAGTTCACTGTCAATGTCGTGCAAGGTGAAGGGGACCTGGACTTGGTTTTGTGACTGTTAATCCAAAGAAGAGAGACATTGTTATGTGAGTTTAACAGGCAAGCAAGGACTAGAGATGAACTTACGAGCAAGGCGACAGCGGCGATGGACTCCGCGACATGCTCCTGGCTCGCGGCGAGTAGGGGCTCCGGCATCGTTGCGAGAGCGGGCTTCTGTCCCTGGGAGACATCGGGCTCTTGCCTCTGGGTGACACTGTGCTCCGTGGTGATACCATCGGACTCCGCGTTCTCTGTGAGAAAGGACTTGGCGGCCTCGGGCAGAACGGACTTCTCGTGCACGAAGGACTCCGGCCTTTCGGCGACACGCTTCTGCACGGCTTCCTTCTGTGGTCTCCTATATCATCTGGGGACCCCGGTCGAGAGTGGTGGTCCTGTAAAGAAACGTTTCAGTCGGTCGGTCCTACACAAAAAGCTTTTTTTTTCCACTCACCTGTATTCTAACTTCCACCCGTGGTGATCTCGATCCGGAGGTACTACGCAACAACTTGTTTACTTCTCGCTTCAAAGAATCTGTACTGACTTTGAGGCCGGCGTCGCAGCTGACAGTCTCGCGTTCCAAATCTTTCTGTAGCTTCCGAAGCATCAAGATCAATGGCAGAGTTCCACCGTCTGCTCCGCCCTCGAGGTAGACCTCTGCAAGTTTCGACAGAAGTCCATCAGCGGACCGCCTCTCACCCGACCACGTCCACTGTCCCAAAGTATTTTATCCTCCCCTTGGTTACCATGCCCAGGATGTGCTTACCACACAAGCTTCCGAGCATCCAGCCCACTGTCGCCTTCTTCTTCAAAGCTTTGTTCTCGATGTCGAGTTTCCTTCTCGCCTTCTCGTCTCTCTTCTTTCGGTACTGGTAAAGCTCTTCTCTTCTATGCATTTCTCGTTGCAACTCATCAATCCTAGCTTCCAGTTCCTGTTCCAAGGTAATAGAAATAAAAAAGTAGGTAAGACTCCCGAAAGCAAAAGAGCTCTTACCTGGATTCTTTCCAAAAGCCGCTCTTTCTCCTTGAGAAGAACGCACTTGTCATGCTCCAACCTGCGATCTCTTTCCAAGGCCGATTCAAGCATATACTTGAGCTCCGCCTTCTCTCGTTTCAGTTGAGCCTCTCTGTGCTCGCAGTCCAGCTTTTGCCTCTCGGCCTCCAATCTCAGCCGCTCGTAAGCGCATTCTAACGAGTTGAGGTAGTCCACCAACGCGGCACTCTTCTTCTCGAACTCGTTAATCACAAAATCCTTACAATTATCCCTATGAAGCAAAACAATTCCATCGATCACAGCGCAAGCGTCAGGCCTGCAGCATTGAGAGAACTTACATGTCTTGGAAGCAAATCGAGACTGCCCAGCCGCTCTGCCCAAAATCTAAGGCTGTGCCTCAAAATCTGGCAAGACGTCCTGCCTGTGGCCTACATTGCGCCAATGCCAGCGCCCACCGCGCATCAAAATCCTCTGCCGCGCATCATGGTCTCCCATTCCCCGCCATACAAGAGCGCGAAAACCCTAGAACTCCCGCACCTATTCCTATCACGCCAGCGCGCGATGGACGACTGAGATTCAACGTTATCTGGCGGGAAAAATGTTTTGAAACTTTAGGGTTTATTGGGTTGCATTCAAAGTGGACCACCAACCAGATAAAGGCAGTGGTCCTAGGGTTCTTCGCACACTAATTAGCGCCCAGCCCAGGGCTCTCTTCCAGGTAAGAAATCGCGATTAGGGTTCCTAGATCCATATCTAGCTAGCTACAATCTCAATCTCATTGGAATGCACGATCTTGCCCATCGAGAAATTTGGACTCCATGGATGCTTCTTTGGTTTCATTTTTCTTCCACTCCTGTTGTTTTCTACCTGTATTTCGCCGCGGCTGCAAACATGATTGAAAAGAAAAAAGAGAGAACTTCTTCCAAAGTCTTTATCTTTGGTGTGGTGTGGGGCTGCTTTTAAGTTACATGTAACATTCTAAAGCTATCCGTCCGGCTCTTTGCTCAGGAATCCACCATTGAGAATCGAGACAAAGCCGATTCTTTGGTGGTGGAGTGTCAACAAAGTACGATTTCTTCTTTTTTTTTCTTCTCTTCTTTCGGTGCTTCCTCATCTTGTTCTTTTGGTTCGCTTCGAGCTGTCAAATGAATTCATTTTGCTGGTAAGTTTGTTGGATGATCACGTTAGAAATAAATGCTCTTCGCCACTGAAACTTCCCTGTGTACTGATGCTTTTAAACTGGCAATGGTGGTGCAGGCTGCATAGAAGTCTGGAGATAAAAGCCTGCTGGATTGTCCAAGGCTGAGCTAGAACCGTGCAGAGCGGCAGTGTCCTTTAAGCTGTTCCACGATCATCGATCTCTTTTGCCAAGAATGGGCGTGGAAGAGCCACAGCAGCAGCAGCAGCAGGGAGTTAAGTCCTCGTGCTGCGTGGTGAATACCCACGAGCCAATTCTGGTTCCTCCCGCAAAGTCAAGCTCCGCGCAACACAAGGATGAACGCTACTTCCTCACGAACTTGGACCAGAACTTGGCTGTTATCATGCAAACCGTCTATTTCTACAAAGGATCGGGATCATCCGAGCTCCAGCAAGGTACCACTCGTGATGATAATTCTCGAGTTTTGGATGCTGACGATTGTCCTGCAGCTCCACGAGATCCTGTGGATGTTGTCAAGAAGTCACTGGAGGAAATTCTCATTTTGTACTACCCCCTTGCAGGAAGGCTGGCTTTGAGCCGGGACATGAAGCTGGAAGTTTTGTGCAACGACCAAGGTGCTTTGTTTGTCGAGGCCGATGCAAATGTCTCGCTTGAGCAGTTTGTCAAGGACTCGAAGCTCGGGCAAGGCCTGGATGCAAATCTAAGGCAATTCGTCTACAGCGTTCCTGGTGCAAAGAGCGTGCTCGACATTCCTCCGCTGGTCGCCCAGGTACACCATACATCTTCTCTCATTTTAAAAAAGAAGGAAAAATTCGTTTTTTGCAATTCACGATCTCTCCTCCAGGTGACCAGATTCCAGTGCGGGGGATTCGTTCTCGGCCTGTCTCTAAACCACGCAATTTTCGATGGTATAGCCGCTATGGAATTTGTAAACTCGTGGTCGGAGCTTGCTCGAGGGGTTCCTCTCTCGGTCCCTCCGTGCCTTGACAGGAGCTCCCTCCGAGCCAGAAACCCACTCCAGATCGAATTCCCGCATCCGGAGTTCCTGGAGGTGGATCAGCCACCCAGCGATCAACCGGCCGAGAAGAGCGAGCTCGTCTTCAAGTCCATCGCCTTCGATGAGAAGAAGCTGAGCTCTCTCAAGGAAGCCATCCTCCGGGAGGGAGTTCTGGACAAGTGCAGTAGCTTCGAGGCTTTCACGGCGCTGGTGTGGAAGTGTAGAACCATGGCGACGAGCAGTGATCGTCTCTCGAGCAGGCAAACGAAGCTCCTCTTCGCGGTGGACGCCAGGAACAGGCTCTCGCCCGCACTCCCGCGAGGCTACGTCGGGAATGGAATCCTCCTCACTTGCGCTCTCACTAGCGTGGAGGATTTGTTGCAGGGATCGCTCTCTCACGCCATCGAGCTCATTCGCGCGGCGATCGCCAAGATCGACAATGCTTATCTTCGCTCCGTGATCGATTTCTTCGAGCAGACAAGGCTACGGCCGAGCTTGGAGTCAACGCTGGTCATAACAACGTGGTCAAGGCTGGCATTCCACACGACTGACTTTGGGTGGGGCACACCGCTCTTCACTGCGCCAGCCAGCTTGCCAGAGGCGGAGGTGGCACTGTTTCTACCCCACGGGGAGTCGCGCAAGGGATTCGAACTGGTGCATGGGCTGCCCGAGCGTGACATGAAAACGTTTGTGAGCTTGATGGAGACCAGCTGGATTTGAAATTTGATTATGGTTTAGATTTAAGCATCGTGATATTAATTTGATTGTGTTTAATCTGATCTCTTGCGTTGAATCTATGTATACAGGTCCCAGCAAGAGCTTTTAAGTAATCTTCCTCTTCCAGTTTTGGGGCTGGACCTGGAAATCACCTTTTGATTGCTATAGAGGTATGGCTTCTATTGTAGCTACAAAGCTGCAATAGTGATGGAGACAAAGTGCCAAAACCCTTGTGACAAAAACCATTGGCCACACTTTAAACTAGGATTTTCCCATGGGCCCATAAAACTTTGTAAAAAACTTTAAACTTTCTCAAAACTTGCATGGTCATGAATTTTCTGAAGGTCAACTCAGCAGCAAAAAATCCACCTCCACATTAGCATATCAACTTTGTATTTAAGCGACCATGTTCTTAAGCTCGTTTGAGATAAGTTATGTATAGCTTTGAAAAATTTGCTTGCCTAGAGAGAGGATTGATCAATCAGATTGCTATTGAAGCTTTTCATCCTTTTTTCCTGTGAGGTATGTTTAGGGCCCACTGAGTATTCGTCGTGCGATCCATTCGACTTCTTTACCACTGATGGTGGCCAACTGTGGGGCACTGATTTGCTTGGTGGCTTTTTGCTTTTTTTCTTTCCCCTTCGTTGTCAGGATCCAAGCCTTGGTTGCCAGCCTCAGGCCCGAGAAATGTGTGGCAAAATCATCGCTGTGCATCGCTGTGCAAGCGCTCGACAGCGGGTCAGCTGGGATTCCTGTACCTCTCAGGCCGCGGGCTTGGGCGGGATCCGCCATAGGGCCATGTCGTCTACTCTTTTTTTGAGTGATTTGGTGCAATCCGTGGTCCATGGAGCTTGAAAATCTCAAGTAGCGGCGCATCCAGATCCTCCACAACTGGTACTACTTCACACTCCAGCTCAATTCCAGTTGACCAGAGATGGAAAATATCGAAAGCTGACGAGAATCAACACATCCTAAACTTCTCAAGTTGCCAAAGACCAAGTCTCGTCCGCGTTTTGGAGACCATTTTTGAGTTGCAAAACAGGATGGCCTACGCTGTTTCATGAGGGCTCACAAGATTGGGCTGAAAAATACACGGCGTAAATGTTCTCCATAATTACGTGAACTCTCAATAATTTATATAATTTCTATGACAGACGAAATAAAAAAAAAAATTGTAGCAAAGAGATCTCCATAAATGGCTGCCCGTACAAAAGTGCGTATAGCTGATAATTGTAAAATTGGTTGAAGCATGGATAAACAATAATTTTCTGTGGTTTTATTAATTTCTTACTTATAGGTGTTTAAGAAAGTTTAATTTTATTGTTAATTAAATGAATTAGCTTTGTTAATTTTGAGTGATTTAATGGTTTGTGAAGAACCCTAATGGCGGAGCTGAGTGCCATGGCGCGGCCGGGGGATGCTCCCGATGAAGACACTAGGCGCGAGCTGAAGGGCAAGGATGAGGACGAGGTGAGTTTTTCTACTATCGCGGAGGGAGATTTTACTCGATCGTTGGCTGATTGCTGCTCGTTTGGGGACTTTAGGAAGCTCACACGCGGCTGGAAGAGATGAAGAAACAAATAGAAGCCAAGCGAGCTCTGCGTCGTGCAAATTTTTCTCCGGATAGACCTGGTAATGTGTGAGAGTGTTGGTGAACCAATCTCTCGAATTTTTTTTTTTCCTTCTTTCCCTTTTCAGATGCAAGTTTCCTTAGAACTTTGGACTCGAGTATCAAACGCAATACCGCTGTGATTAAGAAGCTCAAGCAGATCAATGAAGAGCAGCGTGATGGGTTACTAGAGGAGCTCAAGTCCGTGAATTTGAGCAAGTTTGTGACCGAGGCTGTGACGTCCATTTGCGATGCCAAGCTTAAAAGCTCCGACATCAATGCTGCTGTCCAGGTAAACTTGCTCGATTCTTAGCGTTACCAAGCACTGTATGCTTTTCTTATCTCTCCCTGTTCCAGGTGTGCTCTTTGCTTCATCAAAGGTACAAAGACTTTGCTCCCAACCTCGTACAAGGTCTATTGAAAGTGTTCTTGCCGGGGAAGGCTGGCGAAGAGCTAGACAGTGATCGGAGCTCTCGGGCTATGAGAAAGCGAAGTACTCTCAAGCTTTTGATGGAGCTCTACGTCTGCGGGGTTACTGAAGACGCTGGGATCTTCGTTAGCATTGTCAAGGACCTTACAAGCAGTGACCACTTGCGAGATCGAGAGGCAACGCAAACAAACCTGTCGTTGCTTGTAGCTTTTACACGCCAAGGGAGGTTTCTACTCGGGCTCCCACTGGGAGGTCCTGACGGCCAAGAGGAGGTATGGAATATCACTCCGAGCTAATGACTGGAACGTCCTCGCTTCGTGCAGTTTTACAAAGAGATTAACGCTAGTCAGGATCACAAGAAGCAGCTGAAGAAAATGATACAATCCTTTTACGACTCTGCAGTGTTTCTCCTTCAGTCCGAACATGCGGTAACTTTTGCGATCGGATTTAATTTTCGACGAGTTCATGCTCCCCATTTCTTTTCAGGCCCTTCGTCAGATCGAACACGAAAATGCCCGCATGCTCAACGCTAAAGGGGAACTTAGCGAGGAAAATGCTGCGTCCTACGAAAAAATGCGGAAGTCATACGACCATCTCTTTCGGAGTATTTCCTCGTAAGTCGATTCAATCACACTAGTGGATTTACCGTATTGCTAAACACCTTTAGACTGGCCGAAGCGATGGACATACAACCACCTGTGATGCCAGAGGATGCTCATACAACGCGCCTGTCGGCGGGGGAAGAAGGGGCTTCTTCGCCTGCAGGAAAAGAACCTGCATCCGTGGAGCCTATATGGGATGACGAAGACACTCGGCTATTTTACGAAGGTCTTCCAGATTTACGGTACTTAATGTCGTTCATTCTAGATTCTAGTCTGCGTCTAATGAATTGTATTAGGGCCTTTGTTCCTGCTGTTTTACTGGGAGAATCAGAGTCAAAAGCTGGTGAATCGAAAACGCCAGAACAGGTGAAACACAATATCCTTGAATAAGCCGGTAGCGGTTTCCTTTTTATTCTCTCTTTGTAACAGGAAGTACGAGCTGACTCCGAACTTGGTACACCGGAAGTTCATGTTCCATCAAATGAGGCCGAGAATGCTAGCGGTGAAGTCGTTCCTGAAGAAAAGAATCCAAACTCTGAAAAGGCTAGAGAGAAGGAGAAGGACAAAGATGAACCTGAAAGTAGCCGGAAGGAAAAGGAACACGAGAAAGAGAAGTGGAAAACTTTTGGGGATGGTGGAAATCTTGACAGCCTCTTGCAAAGACTTCCTGGAGCAGTCAGTCGGGATTTGATCGATCAGCTCACAGTATGAATTCTGGTTGTCTTTTAATCGTATTACTAATCCTGGATTTGCAGGTCGATTTTTGTTACGTGAACTCAAAAAGCAACAGAAAGAAACTGGTGCGGACGTTGTTTAATGTGCCTCGCACCTCGTTAGAGCTGCTGCCGCACTATTCTAGGATGGTAGCGACGCTTTCGACTTGCATGAAAGACATCACTCCAATGCTTCTTCAGTTGCTTGAGGACGAATTCAACTTCCTCATAAATAAGAAGGTGACTTACAGCTCATTTATTTAAAGCCAGTTCCTATCGTTTGCTCTTTGCAGGATCAAATGAACATCGAAACTAAAATAAAAAATATTCGATTCTTAGGAGAGCTGGCTAAGTTCCGGGTGGCTCCTTCCACCCTGATATTTACATGTTTAAAGGTGAGAACGTCGTAGCTAACTGTGATCTCTAAGTATTTTTCGGATGTTACAGTCTTGCTTGGACGATTTCAGCCACCATAACATCGATGTAGCTTGCAACTTGCTCGAGACCTGTGGTCGATTCTTATACCGCTCTCCAGAAACGTCCGTTAGAATGGGAAACATGCTAGATATTATTATGCGGCTAAAGAACGTGAAGAATCTTGATGCCCGGCATAGCACACTGGTCGAAAATGCCTATTATCAATGCCGGCCTCCAGAGCGATCAGCCCGTGTCTCCAAAGTTCGGCCTCTTTTACATCAGGTAATTCACTTTTGTCTTACAGCAATCAACTGACAGAGAATGTGGTCTTCACTGCAGTACATCCGAAAGCTACTGTTTTTAGATCTCGACAAGTCCTCCATCGAGCGTATTTTGCGACAACTGCGCAAAATGCCATGGGATGAATGCGAGGATTATGTTTTGAAGTGTTTCATGAAGGTTCATAAGATCAAATACAACCAAGTACATCTAGTCGCGTCCCTGACGGCTGGTTTAAATCGCTACCATGACTCATTTGCTGTTGCAGTTGTGGATGAGGTTTGTTTGTTGGTGTTTCTCCTTGTAATATCTTGTAATTCTTTTTGCTTTTCTTTTATCTTCAGGTGCTTGAAGAAATCAGAGTAGGATTGGAGCAGAATGAGTATGGCATGCAGCAGCGTAGGATAGTATTCATGCGGTTTTTAGGCGAGCTCTATAACTATCGACTTATTGACTCCTGCGTAATATTTGAAACTCTTTACCTGATCATCTTTTATGGTCACGGAACTCCCGAGGTATGGTTTCTAGGCTTTTTTATCTTGGTTTTAAAACTAAACCTTTTGCATGCAGCAAGAACTTCTGGATCCTACAGAAGATTATTTTCGTATCCGACTGGTGATAATGCTTCTTCAGACGTGTGGCCAGTTTTTCGATCGAGGCTCGTCGAAAAGGAAACTGGACAGGTTTCTATTGTTCTTTCAAAGATATGTCCTTGCGAAGGGATCGATTCCTCTGGACGTGGAGTTCGATCTACAGGTAACGTCTATTCGACTCACAGGGACTGTGGTGATTTTTAACATCGCTCTTGCTCTCGCTACAGGACCTTTTCGCAGACTTGCGCCCGAAAATGACACGGTACGCAACATTCGAGGAAGCGAATCAAGCACTGTTAGAGATGGAAGAAAGAGAAAACATGATGATGGAGAAGGCGGCCAACGGGAAGTACTTAGAGATGGAAGTGCCTTTCTCTGCGGAGCCAAGTCAAGTGGTCGGGAACGGAGGCAACGGTCTTCGTCGTGAGAATGGAGTTGACGAAGGCGAGAGCCTCAGTGAGACGGAAAGCGGAAGCATGGACGGACACGAGGAGGAGGAGGACGACGTCGAACGAGACGAAGAAGGCGAGGAGGAAGAAGAAGAAGCGGAGCTCGAGCACGCAGCGGTGTCGGAGGAGGACGACCACGTCAAGCTCCGGTGCAAGTCGAAAGAAGTGGATCCCCTTGAGGACGCCGACTTTGAGAAGGAGCTCCGGGCCTTGATGCAAGAGAGCGTCGACTCGAGGAAGTCGGAGCTGCGAGCACGGCCAACGCTCAACATGATGATGCCGATGAATCTGCTCGAGGGGACCAAAGACCACGGCCGAGCACAGGACCCCGAGAGTGGCGACGAAGGCATTGACGAGCACGGCTCGGGACACAACGTGGCTTTCAGAGTTCTCGTGAAGAAAGGCAACAAGCATCAGCTCAAGCAGCTCAAGATCCCGCGAGACTCGTCACTTGTGCAAAGCACGAGGCAGAAAGAAGCCGCGGAGCTGGAAGAGAAGCAGGATATCAAAAGGCTGGTCTTGGAGTACAACGAGAGAGAAGAAGACGAGAGAAGTGGTGGAACTACGCAGCCATTGAACTGGTCCTCGTCGTCTCCATCTAGAAGTCCCGGAGGTGGCCGTGGAGGAGCATATGACGCTGGTAGCGCGGCGAGATCCAGCGTTTCTCGCCAGAGAAGGCCTCTGGCAGCTGGTTATGGCCGGAGGAGATAGCAGGCTTGTCACAAACTTCCAGCTTTCCAGCTTTCGCTCAAAGGCGAAGATGTTGCAAGCGCGAGGAAGCGAGAACGAAGCTTATCGCTACTCACACAAGGTTGGAGGCGAGAAGAGCGATCATCCAACAACGAACGCGAAGCGAGCGAACTTAACTTTCGAGGTACCGAGTTTTTCTTCCGTTTTTTTTTTTTCCTTCTTTCTTGGAGCTAAGCAGTGAAGCTGTGATGGTATATAGTCACTCGAAAGAGAGAGAGAGAGAGAGAAAGAGAGATCGATCGATCGACAAGCCTGTACAAAAAGTCCGAGCAGTGAGTTCTTCGTGGCTCTTCTTCGTGTACATTTATAAAGGAAGTATCTTCTTCTATTCGGTTAGCGGAGGATCGACGGTTACCATTCGCCTGACGTGGACAGTACGGCCGAGATTTCCCTTGCACGCATATAAAAGTTTTTTTTAACACTGTAGCAATCCTAATCATTCGCTCGAGCTCAAGAACAGCGGGCGAGCGAGCGCGGCGCCACCGATCGATCGCTCTCGTCGTCGCCGAATTTCGACACGGCCGCGTTTCGCGCCATGAGCCTCTTCGGGCTGGGCAGGTATTTCGATCGATTCTCCTCTTCTTGGAGCTGGCGCTGCAAGATTTCGCTTGCCCTTCCATCGCGCCATTGCCCGATCCCGGCATTGCTTGCTTCTCTCTCCCGCAATTAGGGCTACATTGAGCTAATGCCTGTGGCGCTGCTCTCGCAGGAATCAGCGTACCTTCCGGCCTAAAAAGAGCGCTCCCTCTGGAAGCAAGGTGAGTAGCAAAGAAAGCTATCGGGCTTTATCATTCTCCTTTTACTTTGCTGGTTGCGCGAAGAACTTAAGCTCATTGGTTTGCTTTTTCTTTTTTATCAGGGTGCCCAGCTTCGCAAGCACATTGATGCCACTTTAGGGAGTGGTAACCTGAGAGAAGCAGTCCGGTTACCTCCCGGAGAAGACTTAAACGAATGGTTGGCCATCAACAGTAATCTCGTTCTTCCCTCGCTGCGTTTTTTTTTTTTTTTTGTTGTTGTTGTTGTTCTTGCTCGTATTCCAGGTTTTGAGCTAACTTCAAGTCTTTGCTATGCAGCGGTGGACTTTTTCAATCAGGTGAATCTTCTCTACGGGACGTTGACGGAGTTTTGCACGCCAGAGAATTGTCCAACCATGTCTGCTGGACCGAAGTAAGCTTGGACAGTGACTCGCTCGCTCGTGAATTCTCACTTTAATTGCGTAGATACGAGTATCGATGGGCCGATGGCATTCAAATAAAAAAGCCCATTGAAGTCTCGGCTCCGAAGTACGTCGAGTATCTTATGGATTGGATCGAAGGCCAGCTCGACGACGAAGCGATCTTTCCCCAGAAACTTGGTACGTCTGTTTGGTGATTGGGAGAAAGTGGCATCTAAAGACTTGTCTTATCTTCTGCAGGCGCACCGTTTCCTCCCAACTTCAAGGAGGTTGTAAAGACCATTTTCAAAAGATTATTCCGGGTATACGCCCACATATACCACTCGCATTTCCAGAAGATTGTCAGCCTCAAAGAAGAGGCTCACCTAAATACTTGCTTCAAACACTTCATCTTGTTCACATTCGTAAGTATCACTTCATTGAAAGTTTTGAGACTTACTAAGTGATTCATTTGACAGGAATTCAACCTCGTCGAAAAGAAGGAGCTCGCACCACTGCAAGAGCTCATCGATTCTATACTGATACCGTACTAAGCACTGAGCTTCTGGCGTACCAGGTTAAAAATTTTGTGTTTTTGATGACTTTGGGGCTTGTGTATATATATAAGCTATTCTACCTCTTCTCAAGGTGAGGAAGAGATGAAAATAACGAAGCTGGATTCTTTTCTTCCCAGGCTCTTGGTTGGAGTGGCTTGATATGTTCGCTGCGGTGACATTCGAAGAGTTGGTCTCGATCATAAGTTCATGCCGGATACTCTGGGAAGCCAAGCATGTCCACTCCCGGGTTGTGCAAAGCGAACACATGGCTCACTCGGGACTCTACCTCTCCAACATGCTCCTTCAGATGTATGGGAAGTGCCGAAGTGTGGAGGACTCGAGACTGGTATTCGACGGGCTCCCTTACAGGAACAGTTTCTCATGGACGCTGATGATGACCGCCTATGGCCAGAACGGGCACGCTCGAGAGGCAAGACAGGTGTTCAACGACATGCCAGAGAAGAACTTGGTGGCCTGGACAGCGATGGTTACAGCTTATGCAGAGAACCGAAGAGTGGACGAGGCAAAGCTGGTGTTTGATGCAATGCCGGCTCGGAACCAGGTGTCTTGGAACGGGATGCTCTCGGCCTATGCCCAGAACGGGCATGCAGACGAGGCCAGGGACGTGTTTGAGGCGATGCCGGAGAGGAACTTGGTCGGGAGCACGACCATGGTGGTGGTTTTCGGGAGCTCGGGCCGGGTGGACGAAGCCAGGGTGGTGTTTGATGGGATGGAGGAGACCGACGTTGTGGCCTGGACAGCTCTCCTGGACGCGTACGCTCAGAACGGGCATCTTTCCGCGGCCAAGGCAGTGCTGGAGGCGATGCCGGAGAGGAACGAGGTGTCGTGGACGGCCATGTTTGGAGTGCTGGCCGAGAGCGAGAGCCTGGAAAGCCTCATGGAGCTGTTCGTCCAGATGCCCGAGCACAACGTTGTAACTTGCACGGCAGCCGTGGTGGCGCACGCCAGGGACGGGGAGTTTGGCGAGGCCGAGGAGCTCTTCGCCGCCATGCCGGAGAAGAACCTCGTGTCGTGGAACGCGATGCTGGCGGCGTACAACCAGAGCAGGGATCTCGCCGGTGCCAAGAGCTTGTTCGACGCGATGGTGGAGAGGGACGCTCTCTCGTGGAGCTCGATGGTCATCGGCTATGGCCAAGCCGGGGACTTGGCGAGCTCACGGAGGCTGCTGGAGCGGTGCCCGGAGAGGCAGCACGGATCGGTGTGGAACGCGATGCTCGCCGCGAAGGCGCACAACAGCAGGGAGGTGGAGGAGACTGTGGGAGTTCTTCGCGAGATGGAGGCCGAGGGGGTGGCGGCGAACGAGACGTCGCTGGTTTCGGTGATGGCGGCTTGTAGCCAAGCCGGGGACGTGGGCGGTGCTTGGAGCTGGATGGTGGCGATGGTGGAGGATCGGTGGCTGAGGCCACACAAGCAGCACTTTTCGTGCGTGGTGGACGCGCTGGGACGAGCGGGGCGAGTGGGCGAGGCGGAAGATCTCGTGGCGGCCATGCCGTTTGTTCCAGATGATGTGGACTGGCGGTGCTTGGTGGGGGCTTGCAAGAGGCACCTTGACGCCGGGCGCGCCGCCAGGCACGCCGCCAAGCTGGAGAGGGTCAACTCGGCGGCGCCATACGTCCTTGTGTCCACGGCCATGAAATGGCAGTCAATGCCGGTCAAATAAGCTTAGGGTTTATTATAATAAATACTTGCTTCACATTCTTTTCCTAGTTAAAAAATTCGAAAACAGGTATGGATTCTTTTCTTCAGGTGCCCCAAGAGGCAGCATGGATCAAAAACAGTAGAAAACTCTGTTGCTCTTGAGATGGAGGACACATCCAGGTATATTCTAGGAGCATCTTCAGTTGTGACAGGCTGGAACTACCAAGAAGTTGGGGATGTGACAATGCAAGGGCAATAGAGCTGAGGGCTTTGATGGGAAGACTGGGAGTGGCGAGTGTGACAAATATGAGACTTTGCAGTATGTAATTGCCAAGATTCAACATTTCAGAAAGAGATTTTATCTCAAAGTTATGGAAGATTTAACCAAAGTTTTGGTATAATCAGTGAAAAAAGATTGCGTGCACACAACTTTCATACAATTATTTATGTCTACCAGTACGAAATAATTTTCTATATCGTAAACCTAATCTTCCAAAACCTGATAATCCCACATGCTTTTAAAATTGGGTAGTTTTGAAGGCTTGAACTTTGAAATTTATACAACCAAAGGTGGTTGCAAAATTTCATCATCCTCAGAACTTAAAAAGGAATTTAGTTGTTTAGATCTAGTTGGTTTAGTTGCTTTAGCTTTTTTTTTTTCCTCTTTTTGTTCTCTTTCTTAATTTCTCTTCACAAATTCTTAATCTCAACTTCCTGAGCCTTACACTTTAGTGCTATAGCATCTGGCTCTTTCTTTTTTGACTCAGCCTCAGCCTCTTTTAACTCAGCCTTAACCTTTTCTACAACATTTTTAGCAGAAGTTTCATCACTATAATTCTCTACAAAAAGACTCTTTAAATGTTTTTGAAACTTATGTTTGTCCTATATTGAAAAACTTAACTCACTTGATTAATCATGTTCCAATGAAAGATCCAAATCAAAACAAATTCTACTTCATTGATAACTTTCATAAAGAGAGTATATAGTAACACTTGCATCATTCTCAGTCTATAAAGAGTTTGGAGGAACTCTTTAATATAATTCATCAACTTGACAATGTCTTTCAGCATCATTTTCAATTGTTAGAAATAAAATTTTATGCAAACATTTTTTATGTCATAGCGAGAAGCAAAACTTAAATGAAAAACAACCTCAAATTCATCCATGGTACACACTAGTGGTTTTTATCCATACAAAACTCTTCAAGTCAATTCCACCACTAAAGACCTACATTATGCAAAACCATTGAAATAGCCATTAAAGCTTATACATTTGGAATCTTTTAATTTCACCTTCTCACCACCAGAATTTATCTTGTCTAAGTGTTTGATAGTGTGGGCACAGCTGTCCTTGGGCTTACTTGATAAAGAGGACGTTCTCATCAGCTACACACACAAGAAACAATGTAAAATAAGAAAAAAAACACCATCAAAGCTAGTTATGCATGCCGTCCTTGAGTTGGTTTTCTATAACACGCAACTGGAATGTGTGAGATCATAGTCTCCAATGGAAAGATTCTGACCACGACCAGCAATGGATCATTGCAGGCACAAGCTCCAGAAACAAGGGATGGATATGAAGCTTGGAGTCTGCAAAATGCAGGATGCGTAAGATCAAGTCTCCATAGATCCTGTCAAGCTTAACACGTTTGACGAGAGAACATCCAAGGCTGCTAGATCGTTTCTGGCCGTAACGAGAGATGGATATGAAGCTTGGAGTCTGCAACATGCTAGGATGCGTAAGATCAAGTCAACCTGGTCTTCAAAGATCCCGAGCTTACCACGTTTGGTCATACGAAAATAATCCAAGGCTGTTAGATATCGTTGCTGGTGCAAGCTCGAGGAGCAAGAGATGGATATAAATCTCCGAGAATATTGTGTACCGCTCTTGACAAATGCTGTGCCAGAAATTTGACAAGAAAGGAGCTGCGATCCAAGTGGAATGCTCGATTGATGAGAAACGGCGTGAAGGCTATTCTATATGTGTTTAAACAATAAGGCGGGAAAAATCCCAAAGAGGCTCTTTTCTTTTTCTTTGGATGCCATGCTACCATGGATACAAATGCCTGTGCACAACTAATAAGGTCTTGTGAGTCCCTGGCACAGGCAAGAGCCATCCATGCTTATATTTCAAAGAGCCTGCATGCTGCCAGTGACAACTACAGATACCTCTCCAATTTGTTGGTCCAAATGTATGGAAGGTGTGGAAGTGTCGAAAGCGCCAGAGGCGTCTTTAACGAGATCGTCAACAAGAATTCATACTCCTGGGTGCTGATGATCTCCGCACTTGCCGCAAATGGGCATTTTGAAGAGACCAAAAGGTCTCTCAATGCAATGCCTCAGCAAAACCTTTTCGCATGGAACACTATTTTAGTCGCTTATGCGCAAAACGATCATTTGGAAGAGGCTAAAGCTGTTTTTTTTGAGATGCCCCTGCAGAATCTTATTTCATGGACTGCCATGCTCGAAGCATATGCCGGATCTGGGCATTTGCTGAACGCAAGAAACCTCTTTCACTCCATGCCGGAAAGAGATCTCGTTTCATTGACTGTTATTATAAGTTTACTCGGTCAGAAAGGCCATGCGGAAGAAGCAAAATTTTTATACGACGAGACCCCTTTGCAAGACTTCGTGTCAAGAACAGCTATGCTTGGAGCATATGCCCAGAACGGGCATCTGGAAGCAACAAAGAGAATGTTTGACACAGCTCCGGAGTGGAACTTGGTCTCTTGGAATGCACTGCTCACGGCATATATCCACAAGAAGAGACTCGAGGATGCAAAGTGTTTCTTCGATAGCAGCCCGGAGAAGAACATGGTAACTTGGACAGCCATGCTGGTGGCTTACTCGGAGAACGACCACCTGGAGCTCGCCAAGAACATCTTCGACGGGATGCCCGAGAGGAGCACCGTGTCTTGGACAGCGATGGTGTCCGCCTATGCCCAGGCTTGGTATATGGACGACGCAAAGTTCCTGTTTGTGGAGATGCCGGAGCACAACTCCGTGTCCTGGAACGTGCTGCTCACGTCGTTTGCTCGCAACGGGCTGCTAGGAGAGTGCCGGAGAGTCTTCGATTCGTCTCCACAGCACTGGCAGGACACGGCGCTGTGGAACGCGATGATGACGACGTATGCCCAAAACGGGCACTCGGAGGAGTGCATGGAGCTCTTCAAGGTCATGGAAGTTGAGGGCGTGATGCCCAACGAGACCTCTTTCACTTGCGCGCTGCTTGGCTGCAGCCATCTTGGAGATTTAGAAGCTGGCCTGGAGTTTTTTGTGTCCATGACTGGTGACCATGATCTAAGACCGAACAAGCACCACTTTAGCTGTATGATCGACATACTCGCCCGATCTGGGCATCTGGAAAACGCTCGAGAGCTTGCCTGGAGTATGCCGTTTGTCCCTGAGGCTATGGACTGGAACTGCTTGCTTCTGGCCTCGAAGAGTCACAGTGATATGAAGACCGGGAGCAAAGCAGCTAGACACGCTCTCGAGGCTGGTTCCAAGAGCTCGACTCCATATGTGATGCTATCGACAACAATGCGAATGAGAAGATGAAAAGGAAGCTGCACAAACCAAAGATATGAAAACACTCACATTCTCTAGCGGAGAAAATTTGGCTGGAGTCACTTTAGCAACTTGTATTGTCTCTTGAGAAACTGTGAGGCAAAAGCAGTGTGTTTGTCGCTTGCAGCTCGAATCCCCACTGGACGTTGCCACCTAGTTGCACTTGCTTTACAAAAAGTTCTCACCTTAATGATAATTAGAATATCCGGGAAATTCTAGAATATTTATCAATCTAAAATTCAAAGCCTGATCATATTTCCAGTAAGTTCTCTAGATAAGTGATGGAAGTGAGTAATTGTGCAGGGCTTCCATCGGAGGCCAGCTCTGGTTAATGAGAGCTGTATGTTCTCGGCTACTGGGAACAGCCGAGTTCGTGCATTCTACATCTTGAATCCTCAAGGCCTGCTTGACATGATCAGTGTGTTCCACGAGAACAAAAAAGCTAGAATCTATGTGGGTGAGCAAATCATTTTCTCCTTTTCTTCAGGAGTATTGATCCACAGAACGATTGTATGGACTTGGATCCTTTGCTAGAAATGTTCCTAAGTAAAAATAAATTCAATGATAATACAATATTTATGTTCTTGAATAAGGACAATGTCCGAAAGGAAAACTTTTAATACCTCATAAATAATGACAGTATTAAACTTTTTACAATTAATAGAGTGTTTAACATAATTTCTCTTTTCTTCTTCAGTGCTTCATTGTTTTTATATGTAATTTTGTTGTCTTCCTTTCTCCCAACGAGGAACTTCTGACATGTAGAGATTCATATTGTAAAGATCCAGACCGATCTCATTGGATTGATCCATGAAAGATAGAGGGGAAAAAGGAAGGGAAAGAAAAAGTAGAAGATCCATGATAAAACCTTCCATATGCTCTTCCTCCTTTTACCCAGTACTTGCATACAAGCCCACCCTACTATACATGCTCACTCGGTATATCACCATACACCTCTGCTTCCACTGTGTAATCTGACTGAGCACCTCCTAACATCACATCCCCTCTTGAAAGGATCCGTTGGTCCCTCAGCCTCTACTGGCAAAACTGGATTCCACTGAAAGAGATCGCAGAGTAACTCATGCTGGTCCCGAGTAACCCACGTATCCATAGTAGAATCTATGCCCACCCAGCGAATTGAAAATGAGGAACTCGCCGATGGCGAAGGTTATGGTAAGACACATCAACCACCTTGTCGGGCTGAAGCAGGATCTGATCGTCACAAACTTGCTAAGGTAGCATTGATGACTGGAGGACCAACATGGAGTTTCAACTTGGAAACATGGAAGACATCGTGGATTCTGGATGCACCAGGAAGATGCAACCTGTAAGAAACCTCGTTCACACGCTCCATAACCTCGAAAGGGCCTAAAAACTTCGGGTGAAGCTTACAACGAGCAGTTGCGCGATAGCCCAGGGTGTGCCATTCCAGTCGAAACTTGACGTAGACCAATTCGCCCACCTGGAATTTCCAAAACGAATGGGACTTATCGGCGGAGACTTTCATGGCCTGGCAAACTACGTCCAGATGACGTTGCAGATGTTGCTGGAACTTCTCCATCTCATGAATATGGAGCAGCACGTTGGGGGAGCCAATTAAGTCACCTGGAACTGGAAACTTGCATACCTCTTGGCCATAAAGAGCAGTAAATGGGGGCATTCCAATGGCAGAATGGAAGGCCGTGTTATACGCAAATTCAGCACAAGGTAGCCGCTGAAGCCACGATCAAGGTTTGTCCAGAGTATAGCCACAAAGAAATCCCAAAGTTTGATTGGTGTGCTCCGTCTGGCCATCACTTCGAGGTGATATGTGCTGGAGAAATTTATCTTGATCCCCAGGTGCCGAAACGTGGACGACCAGAAAGTACTCATGAACGTGGTGTCCCGGTCAGAAACATTATCCACAGGCAAACCATGGTGACGGACCACCTCGAGCCAAAACACCTCTGCAACTTGCTGAGGTGGAAGTCGGGATAAATAGTGCCACCTTAGTGAACCGATCTACCACTACAAAGATAGAATCATATCCCCATACTTGTGGAAGGCCAGCAATTAAGTCCATAGAAATACTGTGGAAGGACGCAGAAGCCGATGGCAGTGGCAAAAGAAGTCTGGCCACTGTTTCTGCTTTCGTGACTTGGCAAACCTGACATTTGCGGATTGACGGACTTCACACTGCAGGCCAAAATCATTGCCAAATAGCAGCTATAGTTCCTTGGACACCAGGATGGCCAGCCAAGATACTGGAATGGCATTCTTGGAAAATATCCTTATGGAGATCATGATGAGCGTTGAGACCTGTGTGCCATAGAGGACTGTTGTGGTATGTATATTTATTGTGGGTATACTCCTCACTGGAACGAAAAGAATGCCAGATGGTTTCGAGCACTGGGTCAGAGTTGTAACCTTCCTGTATCTTGTCAATATATGCAGCTTCTCTTCTGGAAATGCTAGAAAACGAGGACGTTTCTGGTCACTTGAAGTGACGTGATAAAGCATCAGGAAGGATGTTACCTTTTCCTGGACGAAATTCAATCGAAAAGTTCAAAGCTTGGGGGAGTTCGACCCACCACTGCTGCTTCTTTGATAGGTGTTGTTGATCCAAGATAAACTTGAGACTGTAATGGTCTGTGGGGAGTAGAAAATGTCACGGGAGGAGATAATGTTGCCATCTCGCCTCCCAGTCTATGAGCAAGAGATGCTCACTGTTATCCATTCTATCTCGAGATAGCATGGATAACAGCAAGCATCTCTTGCTCATAGACTGGGAGGTGAGACTCTGAGATAGAAAAACACTGACTGTCGAAAGCGATAAAGTCGTCTCCCTGACGCAGCACTGCACCAACTCCTGCATCTGATGCATCAGTTTCAACAATGAATTGCTTTGCAAAATCTGGAAGAGAAAGGAGAGGTGCTGAAAGTAAGTGCTGCTTCAATATATCAAACGAAGTCTGCCATCTGACCATGAGAAGGCTGACGAACAAAGAATATATAGCATAAGGCCTCAATATAAGGCCAGCTGCACTAGACCTTTTCAGTCTTAGACAGCTTTTCCAAGTTCAAGTAGACCTGCGGAACATCCACCAGATGCAGAACAACATACTTTAGGTGGGGACTCTGGCTCGAGCAAACCTGGCAACGCTCCCTTGGCCCATCCAGCTAAGACATCTACTTTGCTAGCTCCAATGATTATACTGTAGGATTGACTTAAGTGTCTTGAAGACATGAAGTTAGGGAGATGCTTTTACTGTGGAGCAAAGTGGGGGTGGGGTTATTGACAAGTTTGCAAGGGGATAGAGTGTGTACAACTTAAGGGTTTATTTATCCAACTGTCTGACTATGTATATTCTTAGAATGTTACAGTTCTTTTTTTTACTCTGTGGTAATTTGGTACATTTATTTAAATTTTTCTTTACTTTGTTCAATAAAATAATGAATAAAGAATCTTTCACAATTTTTATAGTTGATTTAAAAATTTAAATTCCTACCAACTTCTACAACTATTTAATCCCTTCTATTTGAATGGAGCAATTTAATTAACTTGTGCCACGCTAAAACCATTTGGCTGCAAATGCAGAGTGAAGTCTCCATTGGGTCAACCTTAATTTTTTGAGTGATTAATGATTTAATCTTTTTTTTTTCAACCCTAAAAAATATTATTCAGTGACACAATAAAGTGTTTTTGAAAGTGCCTTAGACACCAATCAGTTTGTCAAGAAACATTATTTGGTGACCAAATGATGTATTTTAAATACCTTAAACAACAGTCAATCACTGAATGGTGTATTGGGCAACTTTGAAAAACACCATTTAGTACTAATTGGTGTTTTTGGGTTGTAAGAAAAACACCATTTAATACCAATTAGTGTTTTTGGGTTTAATTGGGAGCACACACCATTTCCAAGCACAATCACTGAGTTATCATTTTTGTTATGGAATACATATAAAGTCAAAGAGGCTCAAGCTCACATTTAGTGTTAATTTAGCATTAGCCACTGCCACTATTTTATCATTCAAGTATGTTGTGAGTGATTACATTGTTTATAAATCTTAAAAGGCTATATTTACTTGTGGTGATCTCCATATTTTTGTGAAGAGTAATTTTATTATTTTATGGCCAGCTTTTGAGAGACTTAAATGCTCAAACTTGAATAACTTATTTGATGAAATTGCATGATCTAGTTATGGTAGATCTTCTTTTGAATAAGGGATTTCTAGAAAAGTTTAAACATAAACTCCACAAACATCACGACCATGCAAAATGAGCAACATTTTGTGTTTAAAGAATATGATTAATAATATACATCTTTAAACCCTTCACTACATATTTTAAGTATATATTCTGATGTGATTGTTAGATTAGTTGCAAGGAGCAAATCGGGGCAAGTTGATGAGCATGCAATTTGAAATGAATGATGATGGAGACTTAGTTATAACACTGTTTAAAGACTTGGATTTGGAGCAAAAAAATTTCATATATGCATAGGCAAAGGGGACAGGAGCATGCTCGAGTGCTACAATCTCACTTCCCTCCTTTTTGGGGAGGCAAGCGTTTGTGTTAGTGGACTCTGGTGCGTCCCACTCCTTTATCAATGTCCAGATTGAGGATAGTGATACAACCAGCATCTGGAGCGAAATTGCCAAGAGGGGACTGATACGGGTGGATAGAGTTGATTCAGAGTTGATTTTTTTTCCTTCGTGGAAAACTTTCATGTGATGGAAATGGGGGCGGTTGATTGGGTTCACCTCCCCATAAAAGGCAGTGGCTGTGCAGTTGAGGCTTCACAAACTCCCCTCCATTCCACCTCCTGCCCTTCAAACGTGAAGGAAAGACGCTGATCCACAAAGTTGATGGTAACATTTGCACCCCCAAGAAGACGATGCGAGACAGTGGCTGCGAGCCTGACAAGCTTGCTTACAACATTCTCATCTCGGGCTTCTGCCAGTCTGGAAAAGTCGAGAAGGCAATCGAGGTGATGCAGCTGATGCTGGACCTGGTTTATGCCCAGAACTGGGATCTTGATGAGACGGAGTTTGTCTTTGCAAAGATGCCTTGTTGGGACCCGGTCGCATGGATGGCCATGCTTCAGGCACACTCTCAGAATGGAAAGCTTGAGATGGAAAAGGTACGTTTGACATCATGTCCACACGAACTGCTTTTTCATGGAACTGCCTTATTTCTGCGAATGGCATGTCCGGGCATTTGCGTAATGCCCGCGTTATCTTTGAGGAAATGCCTGTCCATGACAAAGTTTCATGGACAACTATGGTTTCTGGCTTTACCCAAAATGGCCAGCTTGAGGAGGGTATTAATCGAATGCCCAATCTCTACGCTTGGAATTCAATTATCCGGGGATTTTCCCAGAATGAGGACTGGAAAACCACACTGGAGCTCGTTGGCTCAATGCTCCTCGAAGGAGTGAGACCGAGCTACATCACTTACATGAGCATTCTCACAGCTTGCAATTACAAAGGCGTGGTCAACTCAGCAAGGGAGCACTTTGGGATCATGGTGGAAGCTCATGGCATTTTGCCGGTGGTCAAGCACTTCCACTGTTTGATAGATTTTCTGGGACGAGCAAGGTGGCTGGAGCAAGCCGAGGAGCTGCTCCACAGCGTGCCCTTTGCAGCCGACGAGATTGCTTGGACAACTTTGCTAGGGGCTTGTGCCGTCCATGGTGAGATTGAACGAGCAGCAAGGTATGCTCTTAGACTAAATCCTTGCAGCGGTGTTGCCTTTGCACTATGCTTGTCCAAAAGCGTGATTCTTATCATTTAGAGGAAGGAGAAGGATGGAAATCCAGAGAGCGTTGTGTCGCGTCGCATGAAGGTTTCCATAGGTGAACCTGCGAAAGGATTATTGAGACACATTTGTGAATTGTAAACATGAACATTATATTGTCCTCATAGGGGCTATGCTAGGAGGCATGGTTGATCGGGATATGATATGTTCTTAGACTTATGAGTAGTATTGGGCCTGGGAAATCTAAACTAAAAAGTTTATATCCTGGTTTAGCCACATGCACTTGTGCATTTGTGCCTCCTTCCACTTGGTGCCATTGGCTGGGAGCAATTGAAACCTTCTGCACATGGAAATAAGTTGCCAGAAAGTAATAAATTGCTATAAGCCCTGGTTTTAAGTACCTGGTTTACAGGTGTGCCTTTGGAAAGATTGATTTTTTCTTTGTTTTTAATATCGATGGTTAGTGGGTCCATAGTTTATGGACCCTTGACTGGCAGCAGGAAGATTGTGAGTAGAAGGAGCCAGTCTGATATCTTGCAAGATGCCTCCTCGTTTTTTTGCAGTAGCTAATTTAACATTTCATAGGATGGAGTATGAATATGCATACTAGATGGGCAAAAACATGTTTCAAATGATCAACACAGCTATACCATCATCTTTGCTTTTTATATTTTATGGAGGAAGCCTAACAAAGCAAAAGACACTATGGACAGAATAATGACTTTGAAATATATATATATTTATAAATATACTTTAAGCTGGTTATAAGTCTGGTTAAAGGAATTAGTTAATATAAATTTTTCTAATATTATTTAGGTAGATGGAAATAGATTTTATTTAGGTCAATAGCTGCAAGTATGTGGATTATATATTATTTTCTCTTATTTTACTTTGAAAACAGTATTAATATATTCTATTATATATTGATAGTGTTATTATATTATATTAAATAAAATACTATTGGGAGGTCCAAGTGTACAACTAAAATGCCATATATTGAATTAATTTCAATCTGAACTCCTCACTTTTGTATATAAACTAGGGGTTTTTGGTTAATTAATATGCACATATCTATATTCCCTACATTCATATTGGTGGTAACTTTGATTGTTCCTAGGGAGTGCTTAAATTTGGGATTTTAATTTAGATATTTTTAAGTCATGCATTGTTACTTTTCCCTAAGTTAGAAATAACTCAAAAGTATGATAAGTTTGTTTAAAATATATAAACTCCTTTTCCAAACTAGACATAATGCCATCATACTCTAGTGAGACACATTTAATATTCCACTTTATCACTTGGTCATCTTTGCTAACTATAACATCTTAAGAATGAAATCCACATTTCCGAGATAAAAAATCTCCATTAATGTGATTTTGCCCAATTAACATTTTTAACCCCTCTACACAATCATCAAAATGTTGACTAAAGGTATTTGCACTTTCTACCCTATACAGAAAAACTCTTCTTATCACCAAGTTATGCATTTTGGCAAAATAAAGTTTTCATCACTTTTTCTATATAGTGAAATTTACACTTTTAACTATTGCAAAGCATACCCTTTAGCCCTTTAACCTCTTCTTTACTAATGTCTTCTCATCTAAACTTTGTCATGAGTTGCCTCAATCATAAAGTATGAAGCATCTGATTATGCTAGAGCCAAAGATTAAGACAATCTACCCATTTCACGTATGCAGATCCCTATGCATGATGTTCTTGCTATGGAGCCAGACCAAGGCCTGCAGCAAGGCAATCAAGTGTGCTTTTCTTGGTTCGCATATAAAGCCTTCTCAACGAACGGGATCAAAGCGTACATGGAACACACACTCGTTGCCTTGATATCATTTGGGTACGTCTTCACCATTTTGTCCAAGTAGAATTCCAAAGTTTTCCCACTCGGTCATGCTCCACATAGGCAGAACACTCGAACCTGAACATTGACAGATTAGTTCCAGGTTGTAGACCTTCAGGCAAGTGATGAAGATTCCCAAGCGACCTTCTGCAGTCCTTATATATCAAACGTTTGTAGATCCGGCCAGTGTGTTGGATAGAGGACACAGAACGTGCTCTAGGGAATAGAAGCACCGGAAGGCCAGCCATGGTTATCCACCAGTTCATCTGCAGGATCTCCTGGTGTACCATCTTCCCCCGTCTCCTCGCCCTTGAATAGGACGTAGCCATCGCCAAATGCGTAGACATCATCTACCTCAACAAGCTCTCCGAGGTCTTGTTCCTCAAGTAAATGAAGAGAAGAAGAGCGGAAGCTACGATGGACAAGGATGACTCTCAGGATAATCATATATATCATAGCTATATATACATGATGAAGAAACACGCCTCTAGCCTACACCTGGATCAGTGAAGTGGCACTCCTGCCACCTAGGATCATGTCATAGAGAGCGTATACCTCAACAGTAAACGACTATCTGCCCATAGAAGAAAGGCACTGGTTCTGTGAAAAGTGCATCGTATCCTCTGTACCCTGGGCGAGCGACGGTGCCCGGGTATTGTGGAGATGCCGGAGTAAGCACTGGGCGCGATGCTGACGACGTATGCCCAAAATGGACACTCGGGAGAGTGCATCGAGCTCTTGAAGGCCATGGAAGTTGAGGGCGTGAGGCCCAACGATACCTCTTTCACTTGTGCGCTGCTTGGCTGCAGCCATTTTGGAGACTTAGAAGCTGGCCTGGAGTTTTCGTGTCCGTGACTGGTGACCATGATCTGACGCAAAACAAGCACCACTTTAGCTGTATGATCGACATACCGGCCCGATCTGGGCATCTGGAGAAACGAGAGCTTGCCTGGAGTATGCCGTTTTTCTGGACTGGAACTGCTTGCTTCTGGCCTCGAAGAGTCACAGTGGAACGAGTAAAGCAGCTAGATACGCTCTCGAGGCACGTATGGAGGAACGAGTAAAGCAGCTAGATACGCTCTCGAGGCGCTCGACTCCATACGTGATGCTATCCACAACAATGCGAATGAGAAGATGAAGGAGAAGCTGCACAAACCAACGTTTTGATTTCGAGTAAAAAGTATACATTTGCGAGATAGAAACACTCACGTTCTCTAACGGAGAAAATTTGGCTGGAGTGATGTGATCAAGCCGTTGACTTTGGCAACTTGTACTGTCTCTTGAGAAACTGTGAGGCGTCGTCGTCCATGCGGTGGCAAAGTATTCTAAGCAGTGTGTCTGCGTCGCTTGCAGCTCGAATCCCCGTCCGCTGGACGCTGGTACCGCTTGCCATCCGATCGCTTGCTTTACGAAAGTTCTCGATTAACACATATGTCTGCCGCAACGCAACAAATTTGATCACGACATGAGCAAAAACGAGGTGCACCTCAAGTCGATATAGCTCGATAATCTGTTGTGCAGGGGCAGCAGCATTTTCGACAACTCCCCTCTGAAGACCTTCCCCTTCGGCAATGAAGAAATTCTAGCAGAAACATCACAAGGCTTGCATGAGCGAGGACACGGTGAATCCTACAAACCTTCAACACTCTAAGATCGTGCTCCAGCATATCCACGTCATTATGGGAAAATGCACGCGAAGGGCCACCATCAAGAAGCACACGGATAAGACCTTCCTGCAAAGCCATTGTGGTGAGAATCAAAACCTCGTAGGAGTTTCTTACGATTGCAGCTTGCAAAAGGCCCAACACAAGTCTGTCTCTCAACGCTTCTACCACCATTTCAACAATTTGTCCCAGAATCTGGAAATATTAAGATCGAGTTAAAAACCGCGCAGTGGAGCACGTTTGAACGTTCTTACGGGATCAAGGTTGTTAACAACTTGTTCCATCCGTGCCTCCGTAACGCCTCCTTTATACAACCCATCGATGAATGGGTCTCGCATATCCCAGAAAATCAATTTTGTTCCTAAAAGAGCGTTAAGTCTCTGGTTGGAAAAAAGCACAGAGAATTCATACCTGTGAATTCACATATCTTGTCAATTGCTGCATTTGCTGCCTTTCGAGAACCATCAAATGAAGACGAGATTTCGTCAAGAGGCCTCACTCTTACATCTCCGTTTCCTGCAAATATGTAAGTAACGGGGAAATACATGATAAATATACTCACTTCCATTTGCCTCAGTTTTTGGTTTTATAGTTGATTTTCCAGAACGCCATCGATCTCGGATGTTGTCTTCTAGAACGTCCACTTGATTGAGTATATACTACAAAGGTAAAAATACTCAGTCCATGGGAACCATTAGTTCATGAAACAAACTCACGTAAATGGAATTAAGACGAACACATAGCCTGGACGTTGTGAGAAGTCTAATATCGTCCCCCCTCCTATCATCCGGTAGGCTAGGATCCACGAACCTCTTTTTCGAAAACATTTTCAAAGAAGTGTCTTTACCATAACGTGTCAAACTTGGTGGAGGAGGAATTAAATCAGCTTTGGTGCCTGCATTGAGAGAAATAAATAGAAACATACAAGCAATATCCACGTACCTAGCTGACCGACAATCTTATTGCAGTACAACTGTAGTGCATTGTCTAAGCCGTTTGTTAGACCTTTCAAAAGAGAAATTTTCATTGGAAGCTTCAAACCAAAAAATTGCTCAACGGTCTGCACTGAAAAGGTTAGAAGCAGAATTGAAAACAACGACAACAAACCTCGTCTATAATGCGAAAAACCTCAACGACTGATTCCCCCTGCCGCTTTTGCATGGACAAGGGCTCCCATTTCTACAGGCTACATGTCATGATTATAAAAAATACAATGTTTGTACCTCTTGACGAACAGTACGATCAACCCAGTCAGACAATCTGCTCAGTTGAGCGTTTACCCAACGCATGATAAGAGTTGCTGACAGATTTTCCACCTTCGAACAACAAAAGTTATCCGCATCGCAAATTAGAAAGGGTTGTCTACTCACCTCGTAAAAAGTCATTTGCTGGCGATAAACGTTGTTACCATCATCAACAGCTCCAACAAGTTCGGTCAAGTAGCGATCCAGGCTATCAGCAGCAGGAAGAACAGACGCAACGTCATCTGTCAAGTGAGATACACCGTCTAGAAATGGTTTCTAGGTAGAAACAGGTTACTTAGAAATGAAAGATGAATGAAAACCAAATCAGGTACCAGTTCTTTGTAGTACAGCGTATGCAAGAGAGAGCCAGTGATAGCTTTGGCTTGCGGTTGCCAGCGAGACAAAATGGGGGCAAAGGTTGAAGCATCTTTCCTGGCAAGAGCTTCCACATCTTCCGCGAGCAAAGCCAGAGGATGATCGTGCTCTGCTTCAGATTTAGCATCCACACCTTCCAAAGCCTATCAAAACTGTAAGTAGTATCACCTGGAGGAATAAATCATGACATACCCTCTCATAAGCGAGTTTTACTGAGGACCAAATATACTCCTCTGCCTGTTTAGCAATAGCTGCTTGATTTGCTGCCGACGTCATTCTCGTTATCTGAACAAAGAAAAATCAAACCTCCGAATTTATCTCTATCAAACGCTTACTTCGGTCTTTTCGTCCTCTTCTGCTATTAACCTTCCAGCGATCATAACCAACGTAATAAACTGTTCCATTTTCGCTGCGTCCTGCATCAAAATGTCATGGCTATAACAAAGAAAATGTCATGTAAGTACCTCGGAAAAATGCAGGTGGTAATCGTTAAGCCGCTTCTCTACCCAAGTCTTGATAGGCTCGACTATAGATTGAACAAAAGAAAGATCTTGGGACGTGCCATTCAAAACAATGGTAGACCGCAAGCTCTTCATATACGCTCTTTCTTGTGCGCTGCGTTGACTATCAGATGCTATTCTTTTCATTTGTTGTGCAGCATGTTGTAAAAGCGAGACTTCATCAGTGATGACAAACTAAATATACACACATGTAGTATCCAAGTTGACGTACAATGTGGAAAAAATGGTTACCTGACGGAAAAGGACCCATGTATAACAGGTGTTATGCACAGTTTGAGTGATTCCTAATATCTTCCATGTAGATTTGAGAAGCTCAAGGATCTCGTCTGCCTCCTGCAAAACCATATCGTAATAATTTCAACTAGAGCCTGTGAAATTACCTCGATTAGCTGTCCTTCATCCAGAATATCAAACGTACTGCTGAGCAACCTTTCGTAGATTCGAACGTTTAGATGATAGCCATCAGCCCAATGACAAACTTCCCCAATCTGATCCCCTCTGCTAGCTCTTTCTGCCAACGCTAATGAAACACCTCTTAACGCTTTCAAAGCCTCGGCATGTTGTGCTGGACCCGCGGGGGATGGTAGTGTCTACAAGCAACAAAGAAACAGCTTTCAGACATAAAAACGAGCCCTTTTTTTTTTACCTCTGCTTCCTCTATCTTAGCTATTAATGTTCTCAACTCGCCAGCTTGGCGATCATTGTGCTCTAAACTTACAGCAGGAAAATTGACAAGGCCTTCCTCTAGAAGATTTAGCTGTAACAAACTATGTCAGCTAAAAAACAAGTTTAACTTACATTTACCTGTCTTCTTTGCCAGCGTAGATGAACTTTCTTCTCCGTGAAATCTGCTCTCGAAATACCGCAAAGCAGTTCAAGTGGAATGAGTAAAGTGTCCATTCTTTTGCCCACCCTCCCGGCGGAAGAATGCAGCAAGGCTTCTCTTGTCCTTTTGTCGGAAGCCTCAGAAATCTGAAAACAGAGAAAATAAAATGCCCGTAGCTGTAATAAATGAAAACAAAAGAAAACCTCCAGCTGTGTACGCATTAGTTCCAGTAAACCAGCAAGCCCCTGTGCTTTTGTTGGCTCGGGTTTGTGCTTTTCGGACTTACTCCTGGTAAACTTCCTCACGAGCTTCATTTTTTTTTCCTCTTTCTTTTCCTTGGGCGGTGCAACAAGACCCCTGTTCCAGCCAGTATTAACGCTTAGATAACATATCAACTGTGAAACATACGCTGTCGCACCAACTGATGCAAGAAGAACTTCGTAAGCAGTCTCACGCAAATCATCCTCGGATAAACCTGAGAAATGGAGCTTTAGTAGTAAAATCTAAAAAGTAACACGACATACCAGTAGCAAAGGGAGGAAGTTTCAAAACGAGGTCACTCGCGTCATTTAGCTTTCTTCTTGACAGCTCCCCCGTCACCTCATTGTCATCTTCAAAATCATCAATCTCGTCATCAACGGAGATTTGCTGCGATGGAGTTGACTGTATAGATATAGACTTGGATAGCGATGATTTTGCGACTGGTGGACTCAATGCCGCAGGCGCAGGGACCGAGCGCATAGGAGGTGGACCTGAAACTTGCGGATCTGTAACGAGATAATAGATGTCACCCTTTAAAGAATTTGCCTGTAGAACCAGAAAACTTTTAGTGTGAATTAGCAGCACGTCACCAGAACATACCACCGCTGGAATGTGAGCATCATCGTGAAACTTTTTAATCGCCTCCGAAAGCTCGAGAATTCCACCTATCAGAAAAGCTATCTTTTAGAAAAGCAAAAGCATTCAACCTCACCTTTCTTCGCGCATTCCAGGATATAATCAATGCTAACTTGCTCTAGATCAATATCGTCAAGAGTGACAGCTCCGGGAGGCATGACCACCTTGCGGAAAATGCTAGCCGATAGAATGAACGAGAGAAGTTCCCTCCTGTCACGCCGGTACCTCTGGAGTAGCATCTCTTGACTCCTAAGAACATCACATCACACATTCTTATAGGTAAGTCTCCAATAACGCAAAACTAAGCACTGAACTCTACATTCTAGGACCAATTCTTCCGCCATAGACCGCCTGGATCTAGCCTGATCTTGCCGAAAATCTCACACCCGGTGTATGCGCAATGCAGGAATTCTAGTCTGAGCTCACTCACCCCATAGCTGCTGCGCACCGAAAGATTTCGCTCCTCTAAAGCGCGCCAAGACGCCGCTATCCACGCGCGCGTCCACAAACCCTATGCCAGAGCTCCAGGGCGCTCCCTTCCTTCCAGGTCCTATAAAAGAATGTGGAAGAAGAACAGGCGGAAGAAGACCTGACGTGGTGTCCACAGTGGACAGGCCACGTCACTGTGACTACGACACATCAGCGGATAGCGTGGGTTAGGGCTGGAGCGAGTTTTAGGGTTTATGTGAGGAAGAATTGCAATGCGGGCAGCGATTCTCCCCGGTGAGTGCCCGTGAGCTGCGAATATGAGCCCCGGCATCGTCAGGAAGATCGTGGAGAATATGGAGTCCGGCATTGCGTGCTATGGACTCCTCAAGCACGAATTCGCAGGAGCAAGGCTCTTCGTCGGGCGAATTGTTCCTTCTTCGTGTTCGTGCTGTTCTTCCAGGTAAATGTTGCCGTTTCCAGTGATTTCCAGTTGATCGCTCGGGCCATTCAGGTGTTTTATCGTCAAGCCTCATCCTCGTTACTTGTCAAGAACATCGTTGCGAGACATCAATCTCCAGTTCTTGCGCTCTAGATTTTCAACGTGGGCATCCTCGAGTCCCGATCAAGCTTTACGTGAGGAGGAAGAGATCGGGAGCTCCGAGATCGACACCTCCACATCCAAAGTCCCCAAAGATCTTGGAGAAAGCGTAAGATTTCAAACTGACAATGGGATGGAGCTAAAGGTTTCTTCGAGCGTCTTGGAGCGAACAGGCCTGGAGCAAAGTGAGGCATCGTCACAGGAAAGTGAGGTACTGCTACGGAGCAAAGAAGAGATTTTGGTTAGCAGCACAAGTGACAGCAGCATTACTTCAGAAATTCCTGCTCCAAAGATGACGATCATCGTTTTCGACCTCGAGACAACAGGTTTTAGAGCTGCTGGTGATCGCATTATAGAGTTTGCAGCTCGTGATCTTGCTGGGGGTGATCGCAGTACCATTTCTGCTCTAGTGAATCCCGGCCGGACTGTTCCTTACCTTATAACAGCTGTTACAGGAATAACGAATCAGATGGTGAACAAGCCTCATGTTCCCAGGTAAGAAAACTACTTTTGTGTTCATACTTCATTAATATCTTCTTTTCTTTCTTTCTCCCTCGCAGCTGGAAAGAGGTTGGCCCGTCCATTATTCAGTTTGTAGAAAGCCGTCGAAAGGGTGATGAGCCTGTTATCCTTGTCGCGCACAACGGGAAGAGGTTTGACGTTCCATTTCTTCTTAAAGAGTTTCAGAGTTGCGGGATACAAGTGCCTGAGTGGTGGCTCTTTTTAGATTCCATGCCTCTGGCTCGGGAAGCGAAGAAAAAATTCGGTACGTGTTTATAAATACCATTTGCTCGCGTCTCATAACCGTACTACAGGATATAACTGGCGGTCTTTGAAACTTTCTGTTTTACATGAAGCATATGGTCTGCATTCCACAGAGCGTGCACATCGCGCCATGGCAGATGTGAATATGCTTGCTTCGGTGCTGGAGGCAATAGTATCCGAACTTCAGCTTCCGGCCAGTGTGTTTTTAGAAAAGGCCTTCACCGCTGACGAAGTATACGCCAGCTCCAAGCTTTTCCAAGATATGGATAGAGGGGAGTTAGTGACGGATTCATCAGCTACACAGGAGCTGACAAAGGAGGATAGGCTTAACGTTCCTTGGGAGGATTTGGAACTGGAAATCACGGTTGATGAAGTGGAGGAAGAGATGGTATTAGAAGAAGATGTGGAAGTGGTCAGGGTTGAGATGGAGCAGCAGTCGAGCAGGACATTTCTGGATACCGGATCTGTGGATTCTACAGTTTTGAGCCCTGCTCTTGCGAACTATGTCGAGGCAAAAAGAAAGAGACCAAGCTTTATTCACCTCTTAAAAGCTGGTGACTTTTACGAGGTATTACATTCCGCACTCTGAGAGCTTTCTTTATGCACATGACGCTACAGGCTCTTTTTGAAGATGCAATCTCTTTGTCTAGAACGTGCAAGATTCGGCAAAGCACAGTCGAAGATGGCGAGGTACGTTGCTTGCTACGTTTACCGTCTCTGATTTACGATGATGATGCAAAACGCAGATCGAAGTTCCAGTTACGAGGTTTCCAGCGTGTAAATTTTATGTGTATACAAAAATTTTGTTAGATAGAGGAACAAGCGTTGTAAAGGTACGTGCAAGCTTTTTGTAGGCATACAAAGCTGATATCTGTTTTGGAAATGGTTATAGGTTGGTGATGAGGTCCAAGAATCTATATGCGTTTTGACGCCAGGAATGCTTCTCGATGAAGGGATTATAGACGAGACACATAATAATTATTTGGTCGCAGTAAACGTGTCCGCTGATTCTTCTTGGGGGCTAGCATTTTGTGATTTAGCGACCGGTACTGTTGGTTGAAATGATGATATTTGTATCTTGCTTACATCTTTATTGCAGGAGATTTTTGTGCTACACAATCTGAAGGTTTGGCCGCTTTGATGGACGAGCTGGGTCGACTAAAACCAAGAGAGGCCATATTTAACTCGCAAGTGAGTTTGTTGATCTTGAATTTGCCTTCATGATATATCTTTGTTTTTTTCTCATCACAGGCGATTAGAACATATTTAGAAGAAGTATGCGTAGTAGCACGCGATTCGTCAGAGTTTTCTCCCATTTCAAACGATACTGTAAGGTCTTTATAGTTTTGTAAACGATGAGACATTTTTCTATTGTGCAGCTTTTACTTCCATACATCGGAGAAAAAACTGTCGATGCAATTCAGCAGTGGTCTTTAACAGACACTGCGGCCAGGGCCTTACTAAGGTGCGTCCTTAAGTTATATCTCGAGTTTTATAGTGGAGTGTATGTGACACTTTCGTGCTCAGATACGTTCAGCAAATACAAGCGTTTGCACTTGACGAGCTTTCCCTTCGGCAATTACTTTTGTATAAAACCGAAGATTATCTTCGTCTTGATGAAGGCGTAAGAAGCTACTTAGAGGTACTAAATAGCTATATTCTGTTCTTGTTCATCATTGTGATTTCCAGCTAGTCGAAGGTAAAAGAACTGAGACCGCGTCCCTTCTTTGGGCAATGGACGAAACTAAAAGTAGTATGGGTACTCGTTTACTGAGGCAATGGATGTTACACCCTTTAAGAAGTCTTGAATCAATTCTTTTACGCCAAAATGCCGTGGAGGTCAGTAGCAATGACTCTTATGATTTTTATCCAACTAAATAGCTCCTCAGGTTCTCCTAAAAAATAGTCCTGTCCGTGAAGCATTGCGTTCCTGTCTCTCGACCATGGTGGATATTGCCAACCTTTCGGGAAGTATTGCACGACAGTCCACCTTTTCTTGGTGGGTCTCTGCAACATCTTTCTAATGTACTGATCAAGCTGCTTGCCAGGGACGAGCTTATTGCTTTGGCAGACTCGCTGTTGATGCTACCCAGGATTTCTCAGATGCTTGAAGAATTTCCAGGAAATGATTATTTTTCGGCTGTTATTCGCCATCAAGCTTTTGCCGAGAAACTGGCCGAAGAGATTCAGGTTTGTCACGGCTTTTGATAGAATGTTGAATGATCTACACTGACCGTTTGGCTGCCTAAGAGCTTGAACCTTACGTTTGTATTTTCTGCTGAAGGTGGCAAGGAGTTCCGCAACTGATGCTGACATTGGTTTCGAAGCGAGCGATACAATCTCTGAGCGTTCGGACCTTGTGGAGAGTCTGAGAAAGAAAGTTACAGACTCGCTGCTGACGCTACAAGAAACGAGTAGTGCATTGGCCGCACTGGACGTCCTTTGCAACTTCGCTGGTATGTCTTTTCCAAAACGACGCCATTGCCGACCTTTGTTTTGTTTCATGCAGAAATCGCTGCAGCAAGGGATTTCAGCAAGCCAGAGCTAGTACCAGATGGACGACAAATCACTATAGTGGATGGTAGACATCCACTGGTTGAAATACGTAAAGACTTCCAGCCGACTTCGTGCTCGCTGGGCTACCAGCCGAGACGCGGTCGTTCGAAGAAGGTAGAAGACAGGCCCGACTTGCTCATCGTCACCGGTCCCAGAGGCAGTGGCAAGACGTGCTACTTACAACAAGTAGCTCTCATCCAGGTGCTGGCACAGATCGGCAGCTTTGTACCGGCTAAAGAAGCTCGACTATCCATTGCGGACGGAATCTACAGCGTCGACTGGCCCGATGGAAGAAAGGTCCTGGACAAAGTCACAAGCAGTTCGCTCGTTCTTCTGGATGACTTTCGGCTGAGAACTGGCTTCCAAGAGACCGAGGCAGCCTTGTTGAGAGCAGTGATGGAGTACCTGGCAAACCACGTAAACGCAAGAGCTCTACTCGCCATGGAAGACTACTACGAGAACTTTCACACCGAGCTTGTGAACGCTACAGCGTGTCACTTCTCTTCGTCGCATGCATTGTTTCCCGGCTTGGCTCCTCCGCCGGATGGTTCCAGAGCGGGGATTATCCGGAGTGGATTCGCAGGAGGGCCGGCAAGCTTCTGGAGAAGAATGCGCGCAGCAGCAGCTGTGGTGAGGAAGCTGGAAACGAGGATGCGGATCAAGGGACAAATCTCTGGCACAAGATCATGAGCTTTACGAAAGTCAAGACGAAGAACTCGAGAGATTCAAAGACGAAGGAGCCCGCTCAAGCTCCAGGAGAAGATCTAGAGCAGCTATGGCAGCAAGTGTCCACGGTGCTTCAAAGCTCTCCAGCAACCTTGGCTCTCGCGACACAAAAGGTACTTGCCGCGAACTTAGATGATTCATTGATTCACTTGTTGGTTTGTTCTTCTTTGGCAGGGATCACTCGTGTCGATCTCAAAGACCTCGCAGCCGGCAATCGTGACGATAGGATCGTCTCCTCTGTTCGTTAGAAAGTTCCAGCAGCACGAGCACGCCGCGGCTCTCGAGGCTGCGTTCGAGAGCTTGCTCAATCGCCCAGTCAAGCTCCAAATTTTGGTCGATGATTAACTGTCATTTTAGCTCTGGAATCGATGGAAAGTTTGATACGTGAATATAAGAAAATGGGTCCGTTATTAATTGGTGTACTTCCTCTGGATTTCCTTGAGCACGCAAGGTAGCTCCGCAATGCTAGAGATTGTATAGCTCGGATGGATCGAGCTTGATGGTGGATGGCCGTGTAAGTTCACCCAGATTGTTGCGAGAAATCCAGCGTTTAGACCCCCCTGATGCATCAAAGTGAGCACCAAAACGCGTACTGTCTATCACACCCACCTGAATATCTGTCAAGAGATTGTCTCCAACCATGACAGATTCTCGCGGATCACACCCGGCAAGCTCGCAAGCCTTGAGAAAAATCTCCTTGTGTGGCTTTTCTCGGGGCTCCTCTGTGAATGTTTTGACACGAAAGTTATCACCGAGTTGAGAGAAAAACGAAGGGCTTCACCTCCACCCACGAGAATAACGTTGAAGAGTTCTTGAGCTTTGCACGCTTCCAGCTTCGCTCTTTGGACCTTGCAAGAACTCTTTTCATGTGAAAATTCCCAGGAAAGAACAAGCTTACCACAGTGTGTCCATTCGTGATGAGCCCGACTTTCAAGCCTTGATTTTGCAATTCCCGCACAAGCTGCTCTTCTAAAGCTCGAAAGTCATAACGAGAGAAAGAGAAGAAAAACTAGAAATCTCCTTACCGCTTCGACACCTTCGGCCCACTGGAACGCAAGCATTCTCTCCCGGTCGAAGCAAGCTTGCAAATCCTAGAAAAAGGAGAAAGGATGGAGGTAGTAAACTAACAACTTGGAGCAATGGACTCACTCTGGCTAGTTCTATGTCTTGGACGCTCCACTTCTGGAGAGCAACGTGCCAGATTCGCGCTCGCCACTCAGTAACATCGACCTGGAGAATCCACAAATAAAATCTACAGCAATGTAGCTATCGCCAAGCTAGAATTACCTGACCGACTGGATCCCAGGGGCTGGAGCTGAAACCCTCGAGAAACGCGCTCACCACCTCGTCGGCATTGGACGACGGCGCTCGATTCGCGAGCACGGCCTTGACAGCGTCGTTGGCGATCTTGGTCGCGGCGTGAGTGAGCACCAGCGTGTCGTCCAGATCGAAGAACACAGCTCCAAGACGAGCCATGGAGAGAGCTTGCAATGAGTAAAAATATTTCTTACCAAGAACCCTAATTTCTTGCCTCAGCAGGGAGAAAGAGGAGGAGCACTGCAGGTAAGACGCTAGGATTGGATTGGATTGGATTGGATTGGAATGGATTGCTGGATTACTCTCTTCTCGCGATTCCAGTGCCGAGGCGCTTGGATCTGATCGAAATCCCCGGGTGCGCCGTCCACGATGAACGATGCCGAGGTCGCCAAGCAGGTCGCGCAGATGGTGAGATTCATCCGCCAGGAAGCCGAGGAGAAAGCCAACGAGATCTCGGTCTCCGCGGAAGAGGTAAGGTTTTCTTCTCCTCCTCTTCTTTGTAGACTTAGAATAAATTGATAGATGGATGGATGGGTTCTTTCCTTCTGTGGAGCTGACATTGGATTTCCAGGAGTTTAACATTGAGAAGCTGCAAATCGTGGAGGCCGAGAAGAAGAAAGTCCGCCAAGAATACGAGCGCAAGGAGAAACAAATCGAGGTTCGTCGAAAGATGTGAGTTCCATCCTTCTTTTTCTTCGCTTTTTGTCTCGTTATCCTGCTTTCGGACAGCTTAAAGGCTTGATTTTCGCTGTTTTGTAGCGAGTACTCCACGCAGCTCAATGCGTCGCGCTTGAAAATCCTGCAAGCGCAGGACGATCTCGTCTGTGAGATGAAGGACGCTGCCATGAAGCAGCTCCAAAACACATCAAACAACCAAGGAGCTTATAAGCAGCTTCTCAAAGACCTCATCGTCCAGGTAAGTCTTCCCAGTTTGTCGAGCAGTAGCAAAGAGCTTTTCTCGTTTCTTTCCTTTCAACTCAGGCCCTGATAAGATTGAAGGAGCCTGCCGTGCAAATTCGCTGCCGAGAATCCGACTATAAGCTCGTCGAGTCTGTCCTCGACTCCGCGAAAGACGAGTACACGTCCAAGACCAAGCTGCAGCTCTCGGAAGTCATGGTGGACGGTCGAAAGTTCCTCCCCTCTCGCCAAGCCGACGGCCTCTCCTGGTAGATCCATCTCTTTCATTGCTTCCAAAGGATCAAGAATAACTTCCATATCTTTGCAGCGCCGGAGGGATAGTTCTCGCAACCAAGGACGGCAAGATCGTGTGTGACAACACCCTCGACTCTCGCCTCGAAATCGTTCACAAGCAAAACCTTCCAGAAGTAAGCAAAGAGTTTCTCCTTTCCGATGGAGAATCTATCTAACGAGATTTTGCAACAGATCCGAAAGCGCCTGTGTGGATCCAGACCGAGAGCCGGAGCGTAAGACGAAGAACTCGCCATGCATTCTATTATTTACGATATAGGCGTGGTAAAAGAAGAGAAAAATCGAGCGTGGTTTGCAACCATTGCTTGGTTTTCTTTCTTTTTTGGTTTAATAAGAGCTGACGTTGTGATAAACGTGGTTCTCTCTCTCTCTCTCTCTCTCTCTCTCGCTAGTTCTTCGTGGCTATGGCGGCTGGATTTGTGACGCGATCCTTTGGCGCCGGCTCTCTAGTTCTATCGCCACGCGAGGTTGAGGTCTTACCTCTTCCACATTCTCATTGATCATGCGTTTGCTGAATTCCACAGGCCTGGAGCGCGAAACCTAGTGACTCCTGCCACTCCAAGTTCCCGGCGATCAGAGCATCGGTGACCAAGGTCAGGGAGGAGATTGATCCGTCTGGACTGAAGCAGCGGCAGGGAGAAGAGAGGATTCCGGTGGGAGTGCTAGGAGCGAGTGGCTACACTGGATCAGAGGTATGGTTTTTTCTTTCTTCTTTTACTTTTGGTTGAAGAAACTATGGTTGTTCTCGGGATCATAGGTGATACGATTGTTGGCAACGCATCCTTTTTTCAATGTGAAGCTCATGACCGCGGATCGCAAGGCGGGTCAATCGCTCGCTACGGTTTTCCCGCACTTGGTTATCTCTCAGGTGAGAGCCATCGCATTTTCTCTCTCTCTCTCTCTCTTTTAATTGTTTTTTCTTTCTTTCTTCCTTTCTTTCAGAGCTTGCCTGATATGGTGGCCGTGAAAGACGCGAATTTCTCCGACGTCGAGGCCGTGTTTTGCTGCCTCCCGCATGGAACAACTCAGGTAAAGTTTGCCACTTTTGTTACAGAGAACTTTTAATGGTTTTGTTCCTCCAAGAAAACAGGAAATCATCGCAGCTCTTCCCAAGAGATTGAAAGTCGTCGATCTCTCGGCTGTAAGTCATCCAAGAAAAACTAAAGCAAATACATCTCTGAAGTTTTCCGTGTGTCTGTCTGTCTGTGTAGGACTTTCGCTTGGCAGACATAAAAGAATACGAGGAGTGGTATGGCGGCTCGCATCGCGCTCCAGAATTGCAAGTAAAATCCCACTTTGAATCGGCATCAAGTTTCACGATCTTTTTTTTCTTTTTCTTTTTTTTTTTTCTAGGAAACAGCAGTCTACGGGCTAACGGAAATCCACCGAGAAGAAATCAAACAAGCCCGCTTGGTTGCAAATCCAGGTTGCTATCCGACGTCTGTACAAATTCCCCTTGTCCCACTCCTCAAGGTACTCACTTTCAAAAATCACTCAAAACTACGTAACTTTCCACGCAGAGCCAACTTATAGAACCAGACCATATCATCATCGATGCAAAATCTGGAGTGAGCGGCGCAGGTAAATATTTTTTAGCTTCTTCACGAGTAAATATCTTTCTTTTTCACCCAGGCCGCTCTGCAAAGGAAGCAAATCTCTACACAGAAGTCGCAGAAGGCCTGCACGCTTACGGTGTCACCAGGCACCGCCATGGTAAAAAACCACGTTCCTCTTTTCACGTAAGAAAAGCTCACGTTTTGATTTGTTTTGCAGTGCCAGAGATCGAGCAGGGCCTGGCACAAGCAGCTGGCTCCAAGCTCAAAGTCAGCTTCACACCACATTTGATGCCAATGGTAAAGAAACTTACGTCTCCTCCCTCTTATGTTATCGTCGCGGTTTCAATGCAACAGAGCCGAGGCATGCAATCGACCATTTATGTGAAGCTAAAAGCTGGCGCGAGCGCCAGAGATTTGCGAAAGCACCTGGTGGAAACATACCAGAGCGAGGAGTTTGTCAAAGTTCTCGGCGAGGGAATCGTCCCACACACTCGCCACGCTCGAGGATCAAACTACTGCTTCATCAATGTCTTTGAAGACAGGATCTCTGCAAGAGCTATCATCATCTCTGTGGTAAGTCCAAACACATCTACGTGGAATGAAAGAAAAAACACTTTCCTTTTCGCTTGGCAGATTGATAATCTCGTCAAAGGCGCGTCTGGCCAAGCTGTGCAAAACCTCAATCTTATGATGGGCTTTCCAGAGAGTACCGGACTGTTGCAGCAACCTCTGTTTCCTTGAGCGAGACGTACAAACTTTTTGGTATTTGTTTTTCGAAAGATAGAAAACTTGCTTAAATCTCGTCGAGCTCGGCTTCAAACGGATCAATCTCGGGATAGTCTCCCACCTGGGAAGGAATTTCATTAGATAACGGTCCCAGCTTCACGCCAAGATAAGCAAAGCGCAGCTCACCTTAAGCTTGTCCGGTCGAAGCATGACACCGTGACCGTTTGGACAAGTGAAGTAGCGCTTGCCTTTCACCCTGCAAAGAAAAAGAAATAAAGAAAGAGATCGTGACATCTCTTAAAACCAAGAACAGGAGAGCTAGGCGAGGAAAACCTTCGCATACTTACATGCCATCGTGCTTGCCAACTGGTTCATCGCATTGAATTCCAATCCAAAACCCAGCGGGAAGGCCCTCCACTCTACCAACGTACATCACCTCGCCTCTCTTTTGGCCAGCAACAATCTCGCATCGATCACCAACCTGTACCCCATTTTAGCATCCTGGCAGGGAAGCATTTAAACCGGAGAAACGACAAGGGTCACTCACTTTGATGCTTGCGGCTAGATCGGCCATAAAATCATCCGTTATCTGGGCACGTCACGACTTTTAAGGAAAAAAACAAAGAGAGGGAACGTCGCAAAGAAGAACCTCTTGTTGCGCAGTAGCAGCAGACCGTGAAGCACCTTCCGCGAGCTTTTTCTCTTTAAACTTCCTGAAAGTATCTGTCAAGGGATAGATAAGAGCAAAGAAAACTTGATAAAAATGCGAGATGCGGGAAAGACATACCATCGCGTTTGTTGTACGCATCGTCCGAGATCGTGAACTTTTCCACTTTCGAGACATCTTCCAGCCATCCACCAGCAGTAACGGAGCCGGGATCCAAATCGACAATGTGGACGCGATACCTTACAAAAACCTGATACGTTTCATGAGCAAGAAAGGAAAAAAGAATGAAAAGAAATCACGCTAAGATCATCTTACCCGTCGTGAGGAGAATAGAATCCAACTGGGCGAAATCCCTCGGCCATGTCACAGACTTTGTGGTTGTCTCCATCGAAGAGCTGGAGCAGCATGTAGCTCGGCGATGTCCCACATTGTCGCCCAAGCCTCTCTTTTAGGGATTCCACAGTGCTCTAAAATATTTTGCCAGGGATCAAACATCAATCCATTCGCGCCCGACTTACATGTAGATCCAGGCGCAGCTCGTTGGAGTAGTTCTTGAGATTAGAATGCGAGACAGAGACGAGCGCCGTGGAGACGCCGCTACTATCGCCTTGGAGCGAGGCCGGGCCCTTGACATACGCCTTGAGCGCCTCCATTCTCGCAAGAACCCTAAAATCCTGTTTTAACCATTTTGATATAATCTGGACTTACAAAAGATTAACTTTACCATTGTTACATTCACTATAGCTCTAACTCCTTGAGCTGACGTACAACTTCCATCATGGGCGGGCGCTTCATGGGCTCATCCGCCGTACACACCATCGCAATATGGAGGACCTGGTGCATGCAGGACCTCCACGTGGCGCGCGTAGCCACCGCCACGTCGAGTACCTCGTCACTTTTACCCTGCCGTACCATGGACCTCACCCAACCCACCAAGTTACCAATCTCAGTGTCCTTGAAGTCCGGCCCAGTCGGCTCCTTCCCCGTCACCAGCTCCAGCAAGATGACGCCATAGCTGTAGACGTCACCCTTTGACGTAGCACGCCACGTCATGCCGTACTCGGGCGGGATATACCCGAAAGTCCCGGCGATGTCCGTGCTGACGTGCGTGTCGTACGCCGAGATCAGCCGCGCCAGCCCAAAGTCCGCGACACGTGGCTCGAAGTCGGCGTCCAGGAGAATGTTGCTCGCCTTGACGTCGCGATGGATGACATGTGGCACGATCCCATGGTGGAGAAACGCCAGACCACGTGCCGCGCCTACCGCGATGCGCAGCCGGCGGTCCCACGTCAGGGCCTCCAGCGCGTCGGTTCGATTCCGGAGCCACACGTCAAGGCTACCGTTGACCATGTAGTCGTACACCAGCAGCCGCTCCTCGCCGTACGAGCAGTAACCCAGCAGAGTTACCAAGTTACGGTGCTTTACCTTACCCAGCGTCTCCATCTCGGCCAGGAACTCGCGGCAGCTGCTACCGCTCCTTACCGCGCGGTAGTCCCGGACCGGCGCCAGCTTCTTGACCGCCACCGTGCGGCCGTCGGGCAATACCGCGCGGTACACCGTGCCGTACCCGCCGTCCCCGATCACGTTGGCCTTTGAGAAGCCGTTGGTCGCGGTCACGATGTCGGACAGCGTGAGCTTGAGCAGCGGTCTCTCAAACATGGCGACGTTGATGCTCAGTGGCTCCTGGGACACATCGGTGTTACTGCCGTCCGAGCTCGTGATCATCCGGGTGCTGGCCGCGGTACCCGATATCACGCTCTTGAGGCAGCTCAACCCGCTGGAGGAGCTTGAGCCGCCGCGATCGGACGAGAATGGCGACGAGCTCGACGTCGATCCATGGCTGTTGTGGTTGCCGCTGTTGAGCTTGATCTTCTCGCCCAGCAGCGCTTCCGACTGCTGCCGCATCATCCTCCACCGGATCGCCGCAAACACGATGCAAAAGAACGCAACCGTGCTGGCCATGGTGATCGCCCAAATGGCACCCGGTTTGAGAAGCACGGGTTGGCCGCCATTGCCGCGAAGATCATCAAGCGCTCCACAGCTCACTCCCACCGCCAATCCACACAACCCTCGATTGCCGCCATACGAGAGCCGCGAGAAGTTCTTGCATATGCCCTCCTGGGGTATATCACCCGTTAACCCATTGTCCGAGACGTTGAAGAAGCCGAGCTCGGTTAACTCGCAGAGACTACCTGGTATACCCCCGACGAGCTTGTTCACAGACAGATCCAGGTAGCTCAGCTGCAAGATGCCTCCAATCTCGCTTGGAATCTCGCCAGTCAACGAGTTCTTGCTCAAGTCGAGGAACGAGAGACCCGTCAAGTTTCCAATGCTTCTCGGGATATCCCCGGTCAGGGCATTGTAGCTGAGATTGAGAGCCTGCGCCTGATGCCACTGCAAGCTGTTTCTAAGCAGCCGATCGATGCTCCCGCTGAGAGAGTTCTTCTGGAGGAACAAGCCCACGATGGAAACCAATCCGGAGAAGGAATCCGGGAGCGATCCAGTGAGCCCATTGCCGCTGGCGTCGAGGTGACTCAATCCTGAGAGCTGCCCGAGATGATCCGGGATGGATCCCGTGAGAGCATTGCCCGAGATGTTGAGCTTGACCAGCCTCTCCAAGTTGCCCAGCTCGGGTGGTATTTGCCCCGTCAACCTGTTAAACCCGAGGTTGAGCCCCTGGAGCTTGGAGTTCTCCCCGAGCTGCCAGGGAATCCTCCCCTGGAGCATGTTGCTCGAGAGATCCAAGGTGGTGAGGTTGGCGAGCAAAGATATCTCGGGCGGTATCCTCCCCTGGAGCAAATTGTTGGAGAGATCGAGCTCCACGAGCACCGAGCACTGGCCGATCCCGGAAGGAATGGGACCCGTGAGCGAGTTGTGTGACAGATCCAAAACCCCGTGATGCTGGACGAAGCCCGACTCGGGCGGCACTGCGATCTGAAACAAGCTCGCCACCTCGGCTGGAATTTGCCCCGAGAGCCGGTTGTGCGAGAGAACCAGGCAGTCCAGCCCGACCAGCTTACCGATCTCGGGCGGTATGGCACCGCCCAGGCGATTGCCACCGAGATCCAGCGTCGTCAACCCAGTGGTACCACCAAAGATCTCTCGTGGAATCACCCCATCGAATGCATTCCCAGCCAGAGAGAGCACCGTCAAGCTCTTGAGAAGTCCGAGCTCGCTGGGCAGCGGACCGCTGAGCCGGTTGCGATCCAGGTACAAGTGCTGCAAATTCTCCATCCTTCCCACCAGCGGGCTCAGCCCACCCTCGAGAAGATTGTCGCTCGCGTAGATCTCCATGAGCTGCGTCGCGTGCCACAGCTCGTCGGGGATGGATCCCATGAAGAAATTCGTGCTGATGTCCAAGATCACGAGCTTGGGGAGATCCGAGAAGTACCGCGGGATTTCACCCGTGAGCCGGTTGCCGGTGACGTCGAGCTGCGTGAGATTGCCGCACCGCCGCAGCGTACCGCCTGCCAGGGACCCGGTCAACGTGTTGTGGTCAAGGGTCAACTGAGAGAGGAGACCGGCGTCGCACAGCTCGGGCGGTATGCTGCCGGTGAGCTGGTTGTTATCCAGGCCCAGGTCTGTTACCGCGCGGCACTGCCCGAGCTCCGGCGGTATACTGCCCGAGAACGAGTTCGTGGAGAGCAGTATGGAGTCCGCGAGCTGCCACTGCCCGATCCAGCGCGGGATTGGTCCCGAGAGCGAATTCCCCACTACCGAGAACGTGATGATCTTTTCCAGCGCCGCGAGATCGTCAGGGAGAGGCCCGGAGAGCTGATTGAAGGCCAGATTGAGGAGCTCGAGGCTGGAGCACCGCCCGAGCGACCCCGGGATGGATCCATTGAGCTGCGCGGACGCAATGCTGATGGATTGGATCCGGGAGAGATCACCGATAGAATCCGGGATGGGCGATTGGAGGGGATTGTTGGAGAGATCAAGCTTGCGGAGCGATGGCGGGAGGGAGTGAGGGATGGGACCTGCGAGCTTGCAGTTGGCGGCGTAGAGGATCTCGAGCTTGGAGAGTTTCCCGATGGAGGGCGGGATGGAACCGAGCAGCGCAGAGTTGAGGCCGAGCGAGAGCTCGGTGAGGTTGGAGAGATCACCGATGCTGGGCGGGATCTCGCCAGTGAGGGAATTGTTGGCGAGGTCGAGGATCTGGAGCGAGCGCGAGAGATTGGACGCTGGGATGGTGCCGAACAAGAGATTGCTGCTCAAATCCAGCTGCCGCAGCGCCGCTAGGGAGAAGATCGATGGAGGGATGTAGCCGAAGAGACTGTTTCCGCCAAGAACAAGCTCCTCTAGGCGCTGATCCTGCCCAGCGCACGGCTGCTGGTCGAGACTCGAGAAGAAATTCGCGGAGAGATCGAGCTTCCTGAGCTGCCCACCCAACAGCGCGCAAAGGTCGATCCTCCCCGTGAGAGAATTCGAGGCGAGATTGAGCTCCTCGAGATTTTGGGGCGGTGGAGAGACGAACCGATCAAAGCTGGCGCCTTGGAGGAGATTGTGGCTGAGATCCAGGCGCTTGATCTTGGGCAGCTGCCAGAGCTGTGGAGGGATCTCGCCCGAGAGGGCGTTGCTGCTGAGATCGAGCTCCTCGAGCGCCGGGAGCCCTAGCAGCGCGGTGGCGGCGGAGATTGGGCCTTGCAGCTCCAGGCCGCTGAGCGAGATGGCCACGATTGCCCCCGTGGACGCGCACGAGATCCCTGTCCATTTCTTGGCGCCGCATGGCGACGAACCGATGATCCAGTCGCCCAGAGCCTGGGAATTGGTGAGCCCACTTCGGAAATCCAGGAGAGGATTCACGCTCGCCCCGCTGCTCGTCGAAATCCACAGCCCAGTGACAAGAATGGCGATGAAATTCGCGATCATGGTCGCGAGCTGGAGCCACAATTCTTTTCTCTTCCCTCCCTCCTGTGTGATCAGCCGATTCTTTCTTTGCCCATTCTTTTCCTTTTCTTTCCTCGCCGCGACTGTTTCTAACGTACCAAGGAGGACAAACCACAAGATTTCGGCCAAACTGTTCTTCCTTTGGCGGCTACTCGCGCGATCGAAAGCGAGGAAAAAGAAAAAACTAGAGCTTGATCGAGAAGTAGAGATCCCAGGGGTGAAAAAGAAAAGGAGAGAAATCACGCCGTTACGGTGGATCCAAAGAGCGTATCACCCGCCAACCTGAAGATCACGAAACAATGATCTACTTTCTCTCCCTTGCGCGATCCAAGACTCTCGCATTTCTCGCATTGCTCGAGACACCATCGCCATTCCTCTCTCACACCACCCCCGGCGGGCGCGTCACGAAGAACAAGCCCATCGCAAACTAGAAAAAACAAAGAGATTTTTTACAAGCTCGCTGTCACGCAGAAATGGCACCCACACGAGAGAGGCGAGAGATCGCTTTAGGAGAATGGAATGCCGAATGGAATGGAATGGAATGGGATGGATGGATCGATCGATTCGTGCGAGGAATTTCACCAAGATTCGCTGCTGCTGCTCTTTTTCTGGCTGCTGCTGCCCATGACAAGGAATTCATTCTGGGCTGAGGAAATGTCATGCCAAACAGCGCACTCTCATGCTCCGCAAAAGAGTCAAACAAAGAAATTATTCGCAAGCAACAAAAGGGCGAACAGGGGCATATTCCACGCATGGCTGGGGTGTGTAATTTAACATAACAGATCTCCTTTAAACCTTTAGTGTAAACAAAAAGGTGGCGCTGGCCCCATGGTTCTTCTTCTTTTCAATTTTCTTCTCTTTTTTTTAAAAACTTTTAAAGTATGTTTTTTATTGCACTGGACAAGATGACGACAGAATGCAGAACATCGGACATCTCAGTTTTATATTTTATGAAAATACGTCTTTGGGTTTGTGAAGCTGTAAAATGCCATACTATCGCTATACGAGAAGCCTCTATACAGAGACCTGTATACAATAATACAGCAACCTCCCGCTGCCTTGGTGAAAGTGATGAAGTTTCAACAGTTTGTTGTCTCACTCAACTTCTTTCAATTCCTGTACTCAGGACTAGAACAAAATGTTGAACTTTTGTTTGTCTTCTCATTCTTTTGAGGCTGGCGCTGCTACTGCTGCTGGCTGGCTCGCTAGACTGGCACTGCCTTTCGTTATTTTCGCGAAAGTACACGACCCCTAGGACTGTAACATGTTGTGTGGCACTTCGCGCGATGAAAGGAATCATCCCAGGGAAGAGCGTAACATACAAAGCGGTAACAGGATACAGAGTTAGCCTAGAGAATGACATGAGTTCCATTCACGAGTGTTTTGTCATCACAAAGCCTGGCTTGACATGGAGTTCAGCATCACAAGTGAACTCAGAGGAGAGGAAAAGTGGCCTTTACTCCAAGATCAGGGCTAGAGCTGATGCTACAAGTACATGCTACTTGCTATAGGGAGTATGGTATTATGATAACATTGTTTTCCAACCAGCTGTGGCTGCACTGGTGGCAGTGGTCTGGACAGTTTCCTGGGAGAGGGTCAGGAACTCAGCAGGGACTCCATTATCTATTTCTCTATCTATCATTCTCCAGCTCAATTTGTACAGGAAGAAAAAGCTGTGTACATGAAAGTCATGACCAGCAACAAACTATTCGGCTTATTTTATTTGCATTTTCTAATATTTGTTTTTCATGAGGACAAGGAATAGTTGGTCTTCAATCAAAAACCTACAGCCAACTTTTTCCATCGTGCAATGCGGCTACTATGGGAGATATATATATATTTTTTCTGATTGACAGGAAGGCAAAGCAGTTTTTGGGCATTGTTTGTACACTTTTTTCAAAGTTTTTTCTATTTCTTATGGTATTATCAACTTATTCTATCTTACAAAACAAACTTACCAATATTGTCTCTGGAATATCTTTGGCGTTGCTTGCATGCCTACATCTGATATGATCCAGACTACAAACACTTGTCGCTCTGTGGGGAGGACGAAACATATGCAATTCCTTCCAGAAACAAAACCAAATATCTTTTGCTCTAATGTAGTTTTTTGATGCATTGCGTGTGCTGATGAGCAGAGCAGACTGTGATTGATTTGATTTGATTCACAGAACGCCTTGAGTGCCAAGCAAAAAATCCCCGAAATCCCCCAACTTTCTGAAGAAGTTCATGCGCCATTCTGTGTAGGAGCCTCCTTTGACAATAATATACTCCCAATGACCTCACGTGATCGAATAAATACGCTATACAAGGCTCAAGTACAGAGGCTCTCCCGGGAAAACATAACTTATACCTCTGGATTCATCCGTGCTCCCTCAGGTCAAGCAAACTTCCTTGAAATCGGATTCCTGGGAAACTTTGTTTATGACTCCAACCATTTGGGGGAATCGAAACCAAGAGAAGAAAAAAAAAGGTTTTTGAAAGAACACATGAGTGACAAAGCTCGGAGTCCAAGTTTACAAAGCTCGAGGCTTACGAGATCGCAGTTAAAACGGGGGTACATTGAAGTCATCCTGTAACATATCACAGCAGCAAATCTGGCCTCAAGAACACTCAACTCCAGAAGATGGTCTTTTAAAAAATCCGTGTTTTGAAATTGAAACAAAACATGTTGTTTTCTCATGTGCATTGAGCATTGGAATTACTGAAACACGAGCTCCCCACTCTGGCATCATAACTTGCTTGGGGATCAGCTCTTGCGCTGCCCTCCCATCGCTCAAAGTTTCTCGTGATCCATCCATGGCAATTTTTACAAATGCTCTCTTTCTTCCACTTAAATCTCCTTGATTATCAACATATATTTACTGTTCTTCGTGTCGTGCATTGGGATTCCCACGTGTTTTCTAATCCGTGATTAAGAATCTCGTTTTTACTTTTCAACTGCGTGCTCGATCCAACCTGTGAATAAAATAACCCAAAGCAGAGAATCTCTCGAGCTATATAAACGCAGGGCGTCTCCATTTGTAACCATCTAGCAGCAAAGCTTCCACAACTTCTCTCCTTTGTCACCAAAGAGCAACTTTAATCTACTTTCATCAATGGCTGCTTCCATCTCCCGTGTGGCCCTCGCATTCGCGCTCATGCTCGTGCTCGCGTTCATTGCCGTGGAGCTGAGCGTCGCGGATCCAACATGCAGCCCGGCGGGTCGCCAGTACTGCAATCCCGGTCGATGCTGCAGTCGATTCAACTGGTGTGGAACCGGGCGAGCGTACTGCGGGCGAGGGAATTGCATCGCCGGCCCGTGCTGGAGGTCTGCCGCAGCAGCGGAGTTCCAAATCACGGCTGCTACAAACTATAGCTATCCTCTTGTTGTGGCTGCCGACGAGGAGCTCCCGTGAAGAACACCAAGCCAAGTTGCAATGGCCAGGATGGCTAATATTACAATAAGTGTGTGATGTCCTCTATCAAAAGATGGTAAAACATCCTGCTTGGCAATATAATAAACTTTTGTGTGTTGGTTTGCATCTTTTCCATGATTAACACCTCCTTTCCCCATGGCTGAAATCTCTCCTAGTGCTTGGAATGAAGAAAGGTGGCCTGCTAAGCGAGAAGTTTTATCTGGAAAGAGCTTTTTTGACCATGGATGGATTCCAAGTTGCAATGTTCTCTCGGGCACTGCCTGGTAGTGCTGCTGCTATGATATGACTGGTTTACCATTCGCCCCACTAAAAGCATTTGGTGCTTTTGATTGGGCTCGGACACGCATTTCCATAAACATGAATGAGCTGTAGTTGATACCATATCGCTTTCACAAGTCTTGGATTTTCTTTCTAGTTTTTCTCCTCAGGAGGCAAATCTCCGAGGAAGAGAAGGACTAAAACAAGCCAGCTACACTACAATACAAATAGCTTAAATAAATTCCAAACCTGTGGGTGTATATATTCTTGTGCTGCTACTGCTGCGGCTGCTGCTGCGTTTGGATCTGTGATGGCTGCTGCTGATTTTGCTGCTGGTAATTTAGAGGCCTTCTAAAGAGCATGATGTGCGGCTCCGGTCTGTGAATCGCGTAGTGAACCCAGCCTCTAGACTGCTGCACTCCAATTGTCCTCCATTCGTTCTAGAAATTTGAGAGAAAACAAGCGGGTTAAGCAAAAACAAATGCAAAGAAGAAGAACGCAAACACCTCTGTGAGAAGCTTGTTCTTTGGAAGAGCCTTGGCAACATCAGGTGGCAGCACGACATGCCTGGAAGAAAAACCAAGAAAAGAACCACCACAGATGAAGAAAAAAATGATTTTTTCCGAGCACAACAGCTGAACTCACCGATACTCGTAGACGTCGTCGAAGTACTTCTCCGAGTACTGGATGGACGGCATTTCTTTCGAGATCGCCCGAAACTCTTCCAAGAAGACTCACAAACAAGGAGATCGGCAGCTTCGTTTGCGCTCCAATCGTGCAACCCTAGAACCCAAGGAAAAGTGGATCCAGCCGTTGACCCACCGACGGTGACGATTGTTTGAAACTATCAGGGGAATATTCTCATTTATAGAACTGTGTTTTTTCATGGGCAACTTGCTGGATTGTATCCAGGCCCTCCAAAGAAGAAGAAAGTTGCCCAGTTCGTATCGTTGTAAGTTGGATCTCCAACGTTGTAGCATCCAGGAGCTGCTACAATCCATCGCCCCAGGCTCGTGGCGTCGTACAGTTTAAAATCTTGCTTCACAGTCTGGATTTTCCGATGGTAGGCTGCGTATCGAAATGATGCGCTTGGAAATCGACCACTCCCCATTTGCGTTCTTGTGTGCCTGACCCCATTCATCTGAATAGATAGAGATTAGATTCGATCGACTCTAAAAAGTTTGAGAGGGACACTCACTTTGTCGTAGTAAATCTCACCACCACTTGCAACTTCGGTGGCACCAAGTCGAAAATCTTGCAAGAACGAGTCACGCCAGTAACCCACGTAAGTTCCAGCTAATCGCAGCCACCAATTCTTTGTTTTTTGGTCCTAAAGTTTATGCGATCTTTAGCTTCTAAATAATCTTACTTTAAACTTACCTGGAACACGAGAAACTCTAGTTCTTGTTGAGAAGATTTGGACGTGGATTGAGCTAATACTCCCTCCAGGACGATTGTGTTGCTTACTTGGACAAATCCAGGGCATTTCAAGTTGCAGCATCCAGTTTTGTTGTACCCATCCGCCTAAGATTTCGATATCACCCACAAGAATATAATAATACAGATCAACCTACCGTCCAATAGACGAAAAGTCTTGGTTGGTATCCACCGTATAGAGCTGGGTACACCTACAAAACTTGTATAACGACCTAACGATGGAAGAAGACCATAGACAGACTTGCCATCCGGCCTCAATAGTGTTTCGTGGAATTCCTCGACTTGTTCTGGATGATATAAGCCAGAGTTGTGATAAGCTAAACTCGGAGGCCTTCTCCACGTACGGTTGCCATACGTTGATGGTTGTGGAGAATCCTAGAAAGCTTCCCGTAGTATACAGAGCAGCATGCTACAAAGAATATGATCAGCCAATATTTTGTAGATTTTAGAACATTGTGACAAGAGAACCTGATGTGTTTCTATGCCACTTAATGTCTGTGGAGTAGCAAATTTCTTTGTATACCCGGCTTCTTTCTTCATAATAAACTCATTCGTTCCAAGATTGTAGTTGTGTTTTGAGGCATGGTGAATGGGTATTTGGCCCATTGGACATGATCCGAATTCTTTTGCAAACATCTGAACAAGCGAAGGCTTTTGTGTTGCATTTCCAAATGCACGCTGGTGCGCTACAGATGGTTCCATCTGGACAAGGGGAGATCTCTACAACAGTAAAAGTGACCAAGTCTTTTTCACCTGGATGGGAGAAGGATCTGTCAAAGAAGGCTGATCTTGTATTGTGATGCATTTTACAATGTCTCCATTTGATAACTGGAACCAGATTAAACGGAAAACTGTATACTAGTTCGTTAAACATCAGGTACCTTGAAAACTTTTGAATAGGCACCAGCAAACAGAGCGCAGACAAAAAACCAAAGTGGCTCCATATACAATGTGATATACAGTCTCACTAGCTAGCACTCATAAGTTAGCCTAAGGTAGAATCCCCAAAATTTGGAATAGAAGTTGTTGATAGTCTTCCGTAAACCTTCCATATTTTTAGATCTAATATTTTATTTTTTTAAAAATATAATATAATATTATTTTTATAGGTTAGATATTTTGATAACAATAATATATATTTTTAAAATAGAATATATATATAGAAAATAAATAAATAAATAAAAGGTAATATGCTAATTATAGTATTATATCATATGGATCTATTTGTCGCGAATGTGACTTCGGGTATCGAAAGTTACCTGTCGACCAGTCCTTACGGACACTCTTTCCTTACTGCCACGATGGCAGGAGGTCGGTATTGCTGGACCCTTTATTAGTCCCTCTTGTTCAAGTGTTAGTAAACTGGACTTTGCATCTGTACTTGGCCGGATGAGCATAAGGAAGGAATTCCTAAGTGTCTATTTAGCTGAGCATATTCGGCCCGGCTTGTTAGTTCTCTTTTGCTCTGTCTTGCACTGGCTTGACAAGAACCCTCGCGTATTGAGATTGGTCCCTCAATATCGCTACATGATAGCTTACCGTGTCTGCCAAACACCCTCGCTATCATGCCCTTTGTGTTAGTCTCAAATTGTCCTAGATGCTATTTATGGAAAGTGTCTAGATTTGCTCATTTGGCATATCTACGGAATGTAGAGATTGGCCTGAACACAATGGTGTTCGTCCTGTGTCCAAATTCGCAATCTAAGGACATTCCATATTTAGTAAGTTTTGAGTTTGTCCCAGAGACTAACTCCTGATACTAAGGGAAGCTTGGGGTGAAAGCCCAAAGCGTGTGTTCCTCAAGGGGGGGGGGGGCTATGGGGGGTTCCAAATGTATAGTAGGGATAGTGGGTAGGTCGGGCATGGCCGACCAACCTGAGGCATAGTCTAGCTCCCGCTTGCGTGTCTGTCCTTGTTCTGCGTCCGGCTTGGGTCTAAGCCCAAGTTCCATTCCATGCTAGTTGGTGGAGTACCCATATCCTCACGTTAGGCCACCGGTATGCCGAAATAGCGCCAGACTCCGTTTGGCTCCGTTTTGCGTGCTGGTCCTGGCATTGGTATGCTGGTTGCTCCAGGACTATTCCAAGTCGCTCCGGGCTCCTGTCCCTTCGCTCCTTGGGCTATATGCTCGGGAGTTGCTCCGTGGTCCGGTTTCATCACTCCTTGGCGTCACGCTTGGGAGTTTGGCACCGTTCCTTCGTTCAGTGGCCCAAGGCCCTGAACCTCAGGTTCCTATGGACACGTGGCACGGACACGTGGTATGTGACACGTGGCATTTGTCACGTGGCACAAAGAGGGTTTAGGTTCCGCTTCGTGGTGTTATCCTATGGTAAATCACCATAGGATAAAGGGTCAAAACCACGTGCGCTACATTTGGTATCAGAGGATGAGTCTCAGCGAGTACTATTCAGTGAGATTGGGCAACTAGTCTCGTTGCATACGCAGAGATGAAAACGATGATCCGAGTGGGTACACGTTTTGGTGCAAAGACTTCGCATTGGTTCCTTGGGATAGGTTTTGGTTACCTTTTTGTTCTATATTATGTGAGCTTGCTCTTGGGCTCATAGGGTGGACTGAGTTGTTCCATTACACGAGTTTGCGCTTGGGCTCGTGAGTGAGGCACATTAGCAACTCGAGGTTACACTTTGAGTTGGCAGGATTAATGTTAGCCTATTGTTGGTTCGATGAGTTGTTCCATGTACCATGGGTGAAAATAAACTTTCCTTTGGTTTGCTATGAGTGGCAATTAGGCTGGTCCGTAGCTGTTTAGCACGGCACTAGTGGATCCTTCCTAGGCATGATTATAATTGGATCAATCAAGACTGTAGGGAATAGTCTATTGGTTCAAGTAATCATTGCCGTGCTCTCTCATAAACTTTTCTTGGGTTGAACTGAAGGCAGTGCGAAAGCAAGCTTGAGGTTTGGTCAAAGATGAGACCGAAAAGAGAGTCATCGAGGACGGAGGATCAAATACGTAAATCATCTTCTCTTCTTGGAGAGATGATTTGCAACGAGGTGTTAACTCATTGCTTGTGTTCTCATGCAATCAAGAATCCCTACCTTGATGCATGTTGGAAGTGATGGTCTTACAAGTGGTGAGTTATGGGATGGATAGTGGTGAAACACTAAACCATTTTGTTTAGGCTCGCTATTGGAAGACTTGGGTTGCAATGCTCAATTCTTTTCCGGCGAACCTTGCTATTGCTCCTTGAGTAGATTGGTGTTGGATTAGTTTTGAGTTTGGTCGGAAAGAGAGTGGCATGAGCTTGCCCGTGTGGTGAACAAAAGTTAGTGGTGTTGGGTGTCGTAAACCTCTATTCGTGGAGTGTGGCATTTATGTTGCATTTTGTCGAATCGAGTTGGCATTTGATACTCACATAAACGTTTGAAGTAATGACATAGGCATTGCTCATTGTGTTACTCAATTGATGATCAAGTCATTGTGATGCTTATATCATATCCATGTGATAAAGAGCAATGTGTTTACGAAGTTGCTTGGGTAAATGATGATCAACCCCAAAGTGGTTGATGGAGAAGCTAGTCTACTTGCACGAAGTAGCATTGTCGTAGCTTTGACTGGATTCTCAATGGTGGTCCATTATGCTAAGCTTATGTTGGTACCTTGTTTCCTTGAGTTTGCCCATTAGGTGTTGGGAATGGGTTGTAGCATTCATTTGCTATAGCTTGTCGGTTGATCCGTTAGCACTTGGAGTAGATTGTTGGATGGAGAAGATGTGTAGTTGGGGCATTGACATCACTAGCACTTGTGTTAGTGGAAGTGGCATTGTTGATTCGAGTGATGAGGAATTTTCCTTAGAGCTTGATTTTCCATGTCATTTTTCTTGTTAGTGTTTTGGCTTCACATTGGATCTTGAAGGTGATTGAAGAAGAGTGTTAGTGCAATATGGATATCCGAAGATGTGGTCTTCGTGATCAAGCCTTGGATGTTCATTTTGCACTTTGCGGATGTCAGTGTTGGATGTCGGTTATATGGGCAAAGATGTTCGATGCTTAAGCATGTTGTTCGATCATGAGAATTTGTGTTGAGGTGAGCCTATGTGAAGTTGTTGGTAGGAGGAAGTTGGTGAAGTCTGGAAAGTTTGCAATCCTGGACTGAGAGTCATTCTTTATCTAGGATGGGAAATTTTCCACAAATTTTCTTAGACTTTTCCAATGGCTGATCTATTGATCATTTTGTCCGAAAACCATTCCGTTTTCGTAGGCCAGTACAAACTAGTGAAGGGGTTGGAGTTGACTTCGGTTAGCTTAGACCTTGGTAGGTAGTTTGTATGATGCAACCCGAAAGGGATGCTGACTTTTGGGGCTAAGGCAATTGAGTTGGATAGAGTCTGGAGTTGGTGTAGAAAAGTGGCCGTTGCGCTTTTCTAAGAAAGGTGACCCTTGTGCCTTTCTTTTGTAGCATTGTGCTTGGTGGCAGTTTGCACCTTGCATTACGTTAGACTCTATGAGAGTAGTGAGCTCTCACTGATCTTGACTTGGTCTTGGTGGCTGCACCTTGGTTGAGGATGGTGATGTCCAACTTAGTTGTTTGAGGTTGAGATGTTGGTACCCGTACTATAGCTTTGTCTATGAGGAGGTTCTGTACCGATATGAGTTCATCTCATGGTCTTCACTTTAGTTTCGACTGAGTGTTGATCATGCATAGCTAGCCTCTTCAAGGCATGCTCAGAGCTAGTGGCTAAATGTTCTAGTGAGCTTATTGCGGTTGAATTGGATTCGAGTGGTCATTTAGTTTATGCTTGTCTATGAACTTTTATCTCGTACCTGGGGTATCACGTTCTTGTTGGACGAGTATATAACTTGGTGACAAGCATTGGTGTTGGGTCTTGTGAAGGCAAGTTGAGGAGTGATTGTTAGTTGCTTTGCGACTAGTGATTACTTGTAGACTTCATCAAGGACAGTTGACACTTGCTTTACTCGATGATGATTTAGCAGTGATGGGCTTGCTTTACCGGATGGTGTTGCGGAGGATCGTGTCGTTAGACTTGCATAGATTTTCTATGTTAGTATATCGATTCTATCTCTGTCGATATCATTTGGTTACGTTTAGTCCGTGGTGTTGGATTTCATTGAGTCTTGGATGTGGTGATTCACTCCTTGATGATGTGTTATCTGTCACTGAGTTTTGCTGAAGGATTGGTCTCGGATACTAAGTATAGTATCTTCGACTTTGGTTAGCTTGGTTGCTGGAAAGCTCCGAGTGGTGATTCACTCTTACTTTCTTCTAGCTTTGTCCTGATGTTGATGGCATTGAAGTGATGCCTTGTCATTGATATTGTTGATATTGAGATTTGAGTGAAATGAGATATCCTTCCAAGGATTGATATTGAGTTTCATTAGTCTTGATGAAGATAGTGTTGATGATTTGGCTATGGCTTTATGTTATTGGCATTCGTACATTTGTTAGTTAGCAACTATGTTGACGTTCAAATGAACTGAGTGGCAAGTTGGGTTAGTTGTGTTTTAGGTGAGATTGTTTAGTAGGGGTTAAGCTTTGGCTTTTCCTTGAAAAGTGATTTAGTCGTGGACTATGCTAACTTTACGAGATGATGTGTTAGTGATTGATATTGAAGTGATTAAATCCTTGTTGGGTTTGAATTGAGATTTATCAATCATTGATGATTCGTCTTGCGCTTGTTATGAAGTGCATTACGTCTTGCTATAGATGGATTCATGGAGGA